TGCAAGGATATCAAAGCATTCATAAAGGGATACTTTGCTCTTTTCAGCATATTGATTTAGATCTTTTCATTCGCACACGGAAGCATATTCCCCCGTGTGCTGGTCATATTTAAAAGGTGCAGTTGTCATGAAGATTAAGCCTATTATTCCATATTCCAAAGCCAACGCCTGCCGTCTTCTAGAAAACGGGCCGTGCCACCAAATGTTCCTTGGATGTTGGTTTGTATCAGCTTTGAACCCAACCCAGGGAGGAATCTCCTAAGGACATGAAAGAGGAAAAAGTATAAAAAATTCTCAAAAGAAGGAAAAGAGAACCCTGTTTCAAATTACGGATGTAACCCCTTCTACATAATCAACCTCCTTACTTTATATTCGAAAATCAGCGACTTTCCGTATTCTTTTATTTAATTTTTCCAATACTAACAGTTACTAGAGAACATATGCTTTCGTATCTTATTTGATAATAATCGTAACCAGGATTTTCGAAAACAATAACAACGAAGAGGTTTCAATATTGAAACTATATCAAGTTTCAAGTCTTCCCACTGCAGGCTAAGACACGGGAAGGTGATGGGCTGGAACAATTTAGTACGCGGGAAGATGCATGATTCCATACATCCAATTTTGCGAAATTTTTAAACCCCGGTTTTCTGTCTTCTCGATAATTTCCACTTCTTGGAGGCCTTCACTTCCATGAACTACAACTCTCGAATTATACCCCAACCCCGCTGGGAACTACTCTTGTATATGCGAAACACAATAAACACCCATGGATCGATCCATTTTGAGCTTAGTCGATGGAAGAAAGCGACTCATTGCTGCCCTTGGACCGACCTCGAACAAAGCCCTGACCCATTCCGTGTAAAAAGGGAGTTAGTGCTTGCAAACCTGAACTGGGTTCCCCAATCAAGAAACTGGCAATTATTTTACACAGTCTTCCTCGGGTTTCCATGATTCTCACCATTGCATCAAACTGACACATCCAACCACCGTGTTTTCATTCCACGACCCCAGACCACTGCCAACTTCATCCCCATGTCAAACACAAAGGAGCTCATTGAATGAGTGCCCCCTTACACTAACAGGTGGAAGTTAACTATGTAGCCAACTGCTATCATCTTCTCAGCAATTGTGCATCGGTGAAGGGGAGATAGAGAAGCGATCAGCGATGGCGAGCCCAATGACTTGCTGGCCCTCACAGACTCCGCGGGATCCGTAGAAAACTCCCGAGCATCAGACACGAACGCAGACATTCGCGCTATTCGCACATGTAATCAATAGTAGTCGCAATCTCCGTGACGGCAGGGCCTGGAACACTTTGCTCCAAGTCCGCAGACATCTTAATTTTCCGGATCATATGATTTCATCACCGTGAAGGAGATCAACTTTTCAACACCGCGAGAATGCTGTTGCATGTGGAGACTGAAGTCCGAGCTTCGTTAAGAAAACAAACGCAACAGCCCTAAGGCCACCTAGGCTTTGTTCGATCCTCCCATCGTCAAGGGCGACGGGGGAGGAGCCCCTCACCCTGCCTCAAAGGAGACAAGTATTTGAGGACCACAAATCCAACAGCTTCATCCCAATTCCCTTTTTTCACGATTGTTTCGATGATTTGTCGCTTTTTGCGCTGCCTCATCCTGCTCAACGTTCGAAATTGCTGTTAATTCTCCCATTGACGTTATCCGAAAAGCTTCTCCGAGTGCAAATGATATAGTTGTTTTAACTATATCACTGAGTTCTGTGTTAAGAGATTCTAATTAATAAATCATTATCGGGGTTAAAGTGGCAAGAACACTCCATACTCCAACAGTTATTAATTTTTAGATATCACGACTTCGTCCCAGTCGTAGCCAGAGACTTTCGGAATGTCATTATGATGCCAATGTCAGCGGCATATTATTTTGATAGGGATCATAGATCGCCAGTATCACAATGCGATTCCACAATTTCATAGCACAATCGAGAGTATCTCAAGCATTTCTGCTTGAAAGAACAACTTGCTCTCTTGGAGATTGATAGGAAGCTGAAGTCTGCCAGATTGATGAAAGACTGTTCTTGAGTCATATGCATAGGTTATTGAATAGCTCATCTATGCTTTTGTCCTGTCTTTTCCTCTCGCCATCAACTCTGCGGAATGTGAAAACGTAAAATGGGGTTTGTTCAGAATCAAACAAGGACACCAGTAATAATACAAGCTTCCCTGATAGAAAATTCCGCATCCGCACACGATTCTTCTCTCCACATGTATATACTCCACGGAGTTCACCCTCCACAGAAAAATGGGTTTCATCGTAAACCTCAAAAATACCAGTCTCCCCTAGCTTCTCCGGACCTCATAGATTATCTCTCCCACCTTCCCCGGCCCGGTTCCAGGCAGGGCAATTGTACATTGCCAAGGAGAAAAAAATTTTCAGGATTAACGTGATCAGCGAACATCGAGTATTTTCACACGAAGTGGTTTGTGATAGATAGCAGATGGTTTTGATTCAAGATCCGGTCAGATCGGCGGTGGAACTATGAGGAATGAGGGTAATCATATGAACAGGAAATAATACTGCGAGGTTCCACTCGAGAATGTAGGTGGCTAGGGGGGATAGTGGAGAGAGAGCGAAGTGGAAGAGCATTAATATGGCATGAAAAACTGTTGTGTCGCTAAGTTACTCTTGGTGCTCCACTTCACCCAAGTAAATTATTCTCATGATAAGTTTTTCTGAGGTAATTAGAATTAAAATACAGACTATAGTTCCCCACTTCTCTTGATGTCTTTTTACCAGATACCGATGTGGATAAATGTTGCATCGCAACAACTTTCTGCAAATTGGCCATTTAATTCCGCTTGGCATCCATCCATGGGCACCCCCAATTGACCACTTTCAGATTTCCCCATGAGCGAAGGAGTTACCTCGACCATGTCAAACGCTGAAACGTCAGAATGTCCAGGGAGTTTAATGAGGTGTTCGGGTTCTGCAATATCTTTCAAGCTTTCCCATCATTCTATACATACACACATCACCTTCGATCCGCCTTTGCCCCCCTTACCTACTACCCCTACCAGCTCCGCCACTTCCGAAGAAAAGAAAAACGGGGCATTCATTCAAGATTCCGATATGCACCTAGGCACCCAATATATGTAAAGCAGGTGGGCATACCATGCAATAGATTATTCCCTCTGCCTGACTCTTCTTTCATTCATCGTGTTCAATCCCATCAACTCCTGGCACTTATCACCCCGCTCATATCACAACAACCATTGATTCATCTGCACAGGGTGCAGAGAAAGCACATGTAAAATTTCCCGCGTAGACAGTATGCACTATACGTGCTATACGTCTCTGCATCCAGAGATACTTTTCTTTCGTAGTTACCAGGTGAGTTGTTAATAGATAGTCATCGGAATTGTTTATCGAGTCCGTGCAATCATCTCAATCGGAGCAAAAATCTCCTAGTTTGAGAAAATCTCACAAGTGCTGATCATCAATTGTTGATCATTCTTGAAACTGCAGCTGCTCCATCTAAGCACTTCATCTAAGGAGATGATGGGTTTAGAGGGTTTGGTGTTTGAAGATCTCGGAAAGACCGGCAAGTTTCTCCTGGAGTGACGATGATGAACGTCAGCGATGCACAAGGATTTGTCACGTCTGAAGATCAAAGAAAGACACTCTTAACATCATAAGAGTTTGGAGAATAATGAGAGTTGAAAGTTTCTGAGAATAATGCTCCCATCACATATCAATAGATTCATTAAAATAACCTTGCACCAAAGGAAAATAATCAGGATTCCAAAAGGCAAACGGCAGGACCTCCATGCTGAGAATAAAACTTGGTTTCCCCAAAAATCAATAAAGCTTGCCCGACAATAAGGAAGCTGGGACATGTTATATCAAAAACAATGAGATTTCCAAGTTCTTCGCCCTTGGGATTTGACGTTTGGGAATCGTCTCCCGACCGTTTCCATCGGAGCCATCCAGCTATCCGGATACCAGCATGACTCCTCGGGGAGGCTAAAGATCACATTGCGTGCCATACCATTCCACCTAGTCCTAATCACGTCACATAGGAGCTTTTTCATGTGCACGCATCCGTTTGTGCTTTTCGGTTTGAAATAAAATACGGAGATATCTGAGGTAAAGAAAGATCCCAAATTCTTCACCGAAGTAAGGAAAATGAAGAATTTTTACCAAGGCCAAAGGTCATCGAACGATCTTAATCGTCCACGATTGCCCAAACCCAATGGGCGCAGGTTAGGGTGAAAAACGCCAAATGCCAAGTAAGGGGAATGGGTTCTGGTGGTGCCAGTGGTTGGTCCATGCATCCACGCCTCGTATTCTTCCCCAGAAAATCGATCTTCGTCTCTGTTAGTTCAAACTCTCTCATTAACTGAGATACGCACATTCATTCGCCGATGTGAATTTGGAGAGAAGGGAGAAGAAACCTCGGATGGTTTGAGTTCAAAAAGTCAAGAGAAGGCCAAGATCTGGGGAAGAATCAAATGGTAGCCACATTGTCATCCGCAAATGTAAATTTTTTTTTTTCGGGATGTTAATAAATCATATTTGCTTTTGTTCGTTGTTCCCCAAAACTCAGAATCCTCCGTCCCATGCGTATCATGCATGATGCACGAAGAACCGAGGAAAATCATAAAGCCAGGGGCAAGAGTAAAAGAACTTTGATTTCCATGGTAATGGAGCAGTAGTGTTGCAGAATGCCCACACCCAAAAGCCCATGCTGTCGGTAACAGATGTCCGGGAGGAATGAAAAGTTAGCATCAGCCATATGTTCTTATTGACGTCAATGACGAAAGAGAGCGACAGGCGGGTTTGACTCAAAATTGAGGCATATCGTTGCATTGCACCCACCATCAAGAAATAGTGGTGGTGAGCTACCATACAACAGCGGAAAGATGTATCGCCGGACTAACATCCTTTCGTTTCTGTTATAACTATTTCTCTAAAGCTACTTGTAATTGTGATCATTTGTATCTGAGACAATAGCTACACAGCTCAACCGTTCGAATCTGGGAGGGTTGACTGGTATTAGTTAGTTGAAACCTGAGCAGATGACGAGGGTGGGTTAGACAGCCGGATCCACATTCTTGAACAAGACCCATACGCAAAGGTCAAATAGCAATAGATCTTGGGAATCAGCCGACTCAACTGAAGGCTCCTTAAATTCGTCAGTCAGTGACTTGTGGGGATTTTGGGCTTGGTCTCTGGACTGCCGCCCCTGCACCGTGCACCCACCCCCCTTCCCGGCTTGTAGTTGAGGGATGCAATCACAGCCACCGAGGAGGAAAATCATGTCATAGATGGCATGGAATGGCGAAGAGGAAGAAAAGGAGACGGATACATGGCCTGACCCTAACCGTAATCCCTCCTCCTTAACCAACAATACCAATCAACCCTGTCCCCATAATTTCAAGGGGGTAAAACGGGACAAAGTGAGCCCTTGGGTAAGAGACTACTTACTAAATGGCGACTGCAGGGGGGGGGGGATAGAAAATTACAGGGAAACCTGGGTAAAAACACACATCCAGGATACAAGTCTTAAGAAGTCTATAAGGAGGCGACTTGGCCAAAAAGAATTAGTGCAAGAGTTAGGCAGTTTGGTTGGATGCACAAAGGTCCAAGGATTCTCACGCCACTGTGCAGGTTTGACGGTGATTTCTAAGGCACATGCTGGACCCTGAAAACTCTGCGATGGAATGCAATCAGTAAGCTCCCATCCGGAAGACATGAAATCATGGTAGCTGGAAGAAAAAGTCGCTGCAACACGTAAACACCCTCTTAGAAAGAGGATCACCAAACCCCTCCCCACACACACACACACACACACTCTCTCTCTCTCTCTCTCTCTCTCTCTCTCTCTCTCTCTCTCTCTCTCTCTCTCTTCGCAGTTGTGATGATGAATACTCAGAGCAGATACGCTAGGTTTGAATCATCTGCGTCACCAGCTCCTAGCTGCTGAGATTCTTAGTGGAATCTAAAATTGGCACAGGCAACCTAACTTGCAAATCCACGATAATTAACGTTGGCGTGTTTGCTTGCGGGGTAGGGTGCTCTTCGTGACTCTCGAGTCGTGAGGTATGGATCAGAAGCGAGAAACGGGCGTCAATCTTGAGCTTGAATCAGGAAAGAAACGTTGGGATTGAAAAAGGGGGGGGGAATGGGTCAGTCGACCGCAAATGATTTCTGTAGTTCGCGCCAGGCTTCATTGGTCTCATGTGGTTTAGTTCCAAAAAGATGGTGAGAATTGGAATAAAACACACATCCTGATATGTGGTTCCTGTGTGCGGAGTAAGCTGCAACCCTAACATTTACAATATTAAGTGAAGCACAACTCAACCCTGTGGCAGCATATTACAGGTTATGGAGGATTGCACCGGAATTTCCAGCTAGCTAACAGGTGTTTTATGAAGCCCGAGTCCGTTATAAATCTCTGCATATGCTTGAAAATCATCATGGCTGACATGCCTTACTTCTTCAGAGGAGTTTTGAATATGACTGCTGAGGGAGTCTATGCAAGTTTGTAAATCTGTAGCTGTATACGTTTCTTGCGGTAGAAAGACGAGCAAGGTCGTGGAACAGGCAGCAGTTCATTTTCTCATTAACAAGACGAACCTGATTGTAAAACGAGACTTCAACAAGACAACCAAATCTAATATACGTTTCTTACTCCGTAATCAAAACTGTAATGTAAACTTTTTTCTTTCCATTAAATGGTTTTCACATCACATTTCTAACCTTAGCTGAAGAAGTGAATTTTGACGTCAAAAAACAAGCCTTGAACATCCACTGCTTGAAAGAACTTGGTGTCAGCTGCAAGTTCTCAAGAAAAGTGTGTATCAGCTGCAGAGAATGGTGATAGGCTGGCAGCTATCTTAAGTTGAACTCTGACAGCCGAGATAAGAAATAGTTTAACCAAGGCCCCACAGAGAAGTTTATAACATTTGTTGAAAAGTAAAAGAAGAAAAAGGAAATATAGTTTGAGTAGATCTTTTTCTGTTTGGGAAAATATCTTTCCTTTGCCTCCCTCTCCTTTTTTTGTGGGGACAGATGAATTGTAAAAGAAAGGGGCAGGAGAATAGCTACAGCAGGGTAGAATATAATGAAGGAAATGAGAGAGGGGAACAACGGAGACAAAAGAACCTTGGAGGATGATCCGGAGGTTTATGTCGAAAGTCATACTCCGTGCAACCTGTCAATGTGCCAATAACAAAAGAGCCTCACCGGCAATAGCTGCAAGAGGCCGAAGAAAATGAGCTTGTAGATACTTCCGGCGCAGGCAGCTACTTTGAGCATATGGGAAATTTTGACCGAAGCAGGTATATTGAGTGTCCATTTAAGGTCGCCAGTGGAGGAGAAACTTGCATACACCCATAAAAAGGAGATCCATGCACGCAGGAGAGAGAGCTACGAAGCTACTGAGAGAGCAAGACCGATAATCGTGATCACGATGAAGTAACTAACAGAAATAACACATATCATGACGATGAAAGAGGGATGCAAAAGTCCCTTCCAATTGATCACGCTTCTTCTTCTTCTTCTTCTTCTTCTTCTTCTTCTTCTTGCTGCGTTGAAGCTGTCGATGCTGGAGAAAAGCCTCCCATACAGTGCCAATGCAGGTATGGTTGGTGAGAAATGGAGAATATGGTCACAAACTGACATTGCACGGTGCATCGAAATTAGCTCTGAAAGCACGCATGCATTTTTTTTCTGTGGTTGCCGCTGCTGCCACGATGTCTTTGTAAAGGAAAAGTTAATGGAAGAGGGAAGCTAATCAACAAGTACGGAGCGAGCAAGCATCCCATAAACTATTCTGGTTTCAAGCCCAGTCAGATGTCACGAACTCCTCCCCGAAGGCTTTATTTTGCTTCCTCCAACCCTGGAACTGGGTTTGCAAAAATACACATTTAACGTTCGAGAGAAGCGTGCAAAGAAATGAGAACATCCCAACTCAGCATATACCCACCACTTCCTTATTGCCACTCGCTGCTACTCTTGGAACCTGGGTGTCCAACCCGCTACTGCGCCTGTTGCAGGACGCTATGTTGGCCTCTTTCATTACCACACAACACACACAACCTCTCTATCTCTCTCTCTCTCTCCAAACCCATGAAGGCGTCAAACAATTTATCTGCTCAGTCACGCATCATGTTCCGATTTTTCGCCTTTTCTTTCCCAATCACAGACCCGTCAAGGTCCAGGATATCTGAAGCTCCTGAGACCTTGTTTCTTTGGCATTCCCATCTTAGCCCTCTTTGGCCTCGTGTTACTGAATCTGCCTGCCTGCCTGCGTGCTGCTTCTGCGGTCTGAAGTTACCCATCTACCCAGTGGCAGCTCGGTTCAGCCTGCCTCCACTCCATGGAAGAGGCAATGATAGGCACAGGCAGACACAGGATATTGACTGACATTGCACTCTAAACATTGGCGAGCAGAGTGTTAGGCAGCTGAATAATAATAGCCGAGCAACGAACAACAACATTCATGCATTGGGTGGGATTCGAGGGGTTTACTTGAAGCTCTCATCTGATCCAGCTTGTGATGAATTTTCTGATTCGGCTCTAGTCGCTAGGGCTAGGAGCTTTAAATAACCAAGCGAAGAAAGAGGCATTAGTTGATTGTTGAAAATGCTCGTTTTAAAAAGACTTTTTTCTGTTTGTTGTATGTATGTATCAACGCAAGCTTGATGCTTCCCAAGAACAGCCACCACCAATCCAGAGAGGTTCGGGTCTTTTTTTTTTTTTATTGCTCGTACTGCAGGTCTCAGAGAGATGGAATGGCAAATTCACCGTCCAATAAGAAGCAGATCAGATATTCTTCATCATCAGACAACTACGCGCTGTCCTAGAGCATGGATAGCCCACCGCGGAATTGAACATGGATTACTCCGTTCTACTGCTATTATTGACCAGGAGAAATAATATTCGGCATGGTGCGGCGAGTCGTAGGCGGCTGGAAGCGTAAGTAATGGAGAACTAATGCGATTGTGGACTGGACTGGCCTGGGTGCCTGATGAAGCACGGCAAACGTTCTCGAATTGCTTCTTCAACGTCCATGGGCACGTTTCAGGAATATTCGGGATCAGCCTGACGAGGTTCATTGGTTGAATAATATCACTCAAACTTTCTTTTTATTTTGCTTTTTCTTCTTCTTCTTCTTCTTCTTCTTGCTGTCGTTGGAGTATAAAGCGCCCGATAACGGGGCCAGTCCGTCATTGTTCTCATCATCATCATGATATAAGCCAAATCAACAGGCTCAATTCCATCATCGCTACCTAATAGTACGCCTTTCTCGCAGCCTAGGTAACTTACGCAACTTGGCGAAAGAGAAATAAGCTTGCAAGCAAGCAAAAGAAGAATGATAACTACAAAAACAAAACTATCTTCAAAATAAATAAATATATGAATAAAAATATAAAAAAATCCCGCAACTGTGCTTGGGCCTGCAATGCTTCACGGATGCTCTAACATTTATTGGTATCTTGAATTAAAATACAAAAAGCCCATGAAACAGGAAGAATCATCATTTGCGAGCCACTTTCAGAGGCTAGGAGCAAGGGCTACAAATGCTTAACTGAGCCCGTCTGCGTTTCCGAGCAGCAGCAGTAGCAGCAGCACTGGTAGCTGGGGCGGGCTAGAATGAGGTTGGTGCCGTAGTAACCGAGAGAAGCGAGTTCTCCGAAGGTAGGTAACTTAGTTAATTAGGTGGTTGGACACCTGGGAGAGAGTGAGGGGCGAAAAAAAAATATTCTTTGTTCTGCATAAACAATTGGTCTTTAGGTCCAATGGGCCGGCCCCTAGCAGAATTTTACTTCTGATTGAAGCAACGCTTGCTGATATTTTCGTAGAGTTTCTCTTGGATGATTTTCTTCACCCCAGGCCTAATCAGGCGCTGCAGCATTTTGAGCCATTCTTTTTTTTGCCCCCAGGCCCAGAGCCGAAGCTCAAGCGCCAGCGATGGACCGTATTTTATTTTCTTACTGATTTGGGCTGATTTCTGGCGATGGGCAGACAGGCTCCACCCCCTCATTTTCCCCTCCGCTCTCACCTCACCCTCCTCGATAGTTTCGCAGCAGACTTAACAGGAATACCCACCATACACCCATTAAACTAGTTACTGAAAAGCGCGGCTATCCTCTAGGGAACGATGTTAGCGCGTGGACTGAAGGAGAAGGAAAACGACGTTCTTTTCTCCTGTATAACACCATGCCTACTAGGAACTTTGGGTAGTTGCTGCGCAATCTGTAACCAATGCTACCAAATAATATATCTTGGAGGGAAATGAACCCACTCCACCCCCCTCACTCCCTCTTCAAATAACAAAAAACACCACCTAGCAACGATAAAGCAGCAGCAACAAGGACCAAACAAAACTATTGGCCATCCAATCGATTTGCACAGAACCGCCACGCAATGAGCTTACATCAGCCGATCTTAGCGCGGAGCGACCTGTGAAGGCTGCTGCTGCGTGTTGACTCCGTTGAAAAGGACAGCGAGCTCTTCTGAGGGTCTCTGGCCAAAGGTGGTTGCACGCAATAGCCAGCGCTTAATAATGGGAAGCGTGACATGGAACACCTGGGAGCATCGGAGGGTTTGAAAAATAAAAGCTGTGAAAAAAATAAAAATAAAAATAAAAACAAGAAGAAGAAGAAGAAGAAGAAGAAGAAGACCAATGACTGCTTGGAGGTGAATGTGATGCGCCAGCAAAAACTTTTTTGCGAACCCATAATGGGTCCCAAGGTTATAATTAATTTTTAAGTTTCGGTTCCTTTTTATTTTGCTTGTGATCATTTGTAAAGGTTCTTTTCTTGAAAAACTCAAAGCAGTGGCTTGCTTATCCCCGGTTCAAATGTTCGTGAACAGATTTACTGATCCCAAGGTTTTCAACCCTCCCATCACCGAAAAACTATCAACAGACCCAAAACACCGACTCAGAACCATGTAATCAGCTTGAGTTTCGCAGTTAGGGCAGTTTTTGCAGTTTGTGTCTTTTGCCTGCAATGTAATTAATATTTTAAAACGAGCTCCAGAGCTAGTGGTGTCGGGGCGGTACCAAGGGTATGCCACCCAGCTATTACGTACAGCAGCCACTTTCTTCCAACCCCAGCGCCCAGGTGCTGCGCCAGCCATTTCTGATACGATCCACGCCATGCCACCACCCAGGGTAATGCGGGGGGACCTTCGGGCAAGGGCCCATGCCGGCCAGCGAATGGTCACTTGCGGACAAGGTTGTGAAGCGCAACCTGGGTGTGGTGAGCGAAGATGTGAATGGCCAGCATGCCCTTTGACAGGGTTTGGTGAGAGGCACGTCATTGGTCTTACAACGGAATGGGAAGAGAGGGGGGGGGAGGAAGTAAGAGGAGAAATGGGAGGAGAGCGAGCCGCAGGAGGAAGAACAACCAACCGGTCGTAGTGTACCCCATACGCTAAGCTAGACCTTGCGCCAGGAGTGGGGAGCGATGACCAGGCGGGCACCTTGCGCGCCCGCAGGTTACTATGAGTGCGTGCTGTTCGCCTGCTGGGCATACGGAACATGCGCGTGTGTTGTGTGTGTGTGTGCGTTGTGCGTGTGCGTGTGTGTAGATGTCCATCTGCAAATGGTTGTTGTAATCTGAAGTACACAGACAGGATCAGCCGCCAGGGTTCGCTGCGCTAGTCTACTAGCCTCATACCAGCCTCTTATGTTCTTTTTTTTGTTCTTTATGTTATTTTTTTTTATTTTTTTTTTTTTAGATCGCAACCAAAAGATACAAAAAAGTAAAATATAACATCATACGTAGTTAGCAAGCACGCTGTGTGGAGATTATGGAGATGATGCTCTCTCTTATTTACGACTGCAGCCCAAGCTTCGACTCCTCCCGGCAACTGACGCATATTAAAAGCAGTCAGGTCCGCCTGGAAGGGCATTGTATAGATAGAGCGCAAAAACCCAAATAAAAAAAAAAATTTTAAACAAAACAACAAGGCTCTGCCTACTACTCCCTTCGCTTTGTAGTTGAAAAACACCTGTTGCTCTTCTTCAACTTCTTCCTCGACTTCTATTGTTTCTTCCGCTTCCTGAACATTCTTCTTCAATTCTTCGCTGCCTTGTTACCTATATATAGTGTCTCCTTTCCTTCAACAATCATATGATTTATCTCATACCTCAACCTCAAACCCACCATTCAAATCTCTAAGTTCTTTCCTTTGCTCGGTCCCAACCAGACCCGCTTATCTAACTCCATTTTTGTCTCCTCCCCATCACACGTCATTTGTACTTATATATAAGCTCTTTGACCCTTGACCAATTCCTCCTAAATATATCTCCGGCTCTCGCCAATTCGACAACCAACGAACCAACCCATTCCATTTATCTCTGTCGCTAATCCGTCTATATATCAGGCCTCCCGCCTACACATATACTTTGAACCTAACCACCAACTCAAAAGCCCGGAGAAGGAAAATTAGAGTAAACGGCCTCTGGCTCAGATATACAGCTCTCCAAAAGGGGAGGGAGGGAAAAGAAAAACAAGTTACAATGGAAACGCCTTGGTCCCTAGACTTCTGTCTAGTCTGTGATAGGCAGACGCTGGGAGGTGCATACTGCTCGCAGGCCTGTCGACTAGCAGAGATGGATGGCACTGCCGCCGCCGCCGCTGCCTCCGCCTCCGCCTCCGCCTCCGATTCAGAACCCTCTTCTTCTGCCATGAGTACAATAACGACAACCCACCGAAATCCATGGGCTTCACAGAATACTGAAACGGGAGCAGCTCTACTCCATTTTGGTTCCACCATTGATATCGGGGGATTCAAATTTCCCGGGTCCTCAGCAGCAAACTATCAAATACCGTCCTCAACCACATTGGAATTTCAAGCTGCGTCCCGGCCGGGCCTCACTCCATCGTCCTCTCAAACTTCCCTCTCCTCGCTCCAGAGTGTCTCCTCTACGACCTCCACTCCCCTCTCTGGCCAAGCAAAAAGTGAGCTGCAAGCATACTTTGGCAGCTTCGACAAGGTCCGTGATTGGAAACGACGACGAACTTCGTCGTGATGAAAATGCATCACCCAATGGCTGGAATCGTCGCAGCCCACCAGCTACCAACTACAAGGGGGAAACCCGACACTAAAACGAAGACGAAAAACAGTGCGACATTGATATAACAACATTACTTTCGACCATTGTCTTTACACGAATATTTTTCCTTTTTACAGTTCTACATCTACATATATACATATGCCACCACACACGTCTTCTACGATATGTTCAGGTCTGCAGCGTCAGATTGAGTCGAGCTGGACTACTACTACTACTACTACCACCTAGGATTACGTTGGAGCATTGCAGCATTTTTTTTATCGGTGTTACGTCCCTTTTTCTTTTCTTTTATACCTCTTTTAAGCGTTATCACCACATCTCGGAAAATTGCCATACAACATACTCAACCCACGAGTGAACGAATTGCGAATTAACCCTCTAAAAACAAAACTAAAAACCAACTATCAAAATCACCACTCTCTGTCACTACTCCCTCGTCGCTCAGAAAAACCCGAAACCGGATTTTCTCCACTTTTTGTCTCACATACTCTACTTCCGACATTTGGCGCTGAAGGCTCAAAACTTGCGCTTTACCTCTCTCTTTTTTTTTTTCGTCTCTCTCTCTTTTTATTGGCGGAAAAAAAACGAAAAATAAATTGCATTTTCAGGAATTGAAAACATGTGCGGGCGAATTGGGGCTAGTTCTTGGGCATTTTTCATTTTACATTGTCAACAAAAACAAAACTCTCCTTTATCATCTAAAAGTTGCATTTTGGCGGCTGGTGTTTTGATCTCTTGGTTTTTTAAGGGGTGGGGAATTGGACGGGACCGGAGAAGGGGAAAAGAGGAACGAGGCAAGGATGAATTATGAATATCGGAGATGCGTCCACATGTCATACATCCACACTCTTGATGCTATCAAGAAAAAACTTGAAAATGTCACATTCTCTTCTTACCTACTTTCTTTGCTGTTTCGGCATATGAGTTGGGAAGAAGATATCCATCCTGCATTTGACTTGGGCATGCCGTCATTTCTCTACTTTCTTGGTGTAATCTACTTACGCATCCAGTCACACTGACACGCCAGACATTTTTCGCATGAGACAGACCATGGTTCTTTCTTCCTTGATACATTTTCATTATTAATATTACTATTACTAACTATACATATCATATCCACACTCAATGCGATGATGAAAGAATGGACTCTCTTGAGATGAAACACTTTACTGCTGATGGCTTCTCTTTTCTTTCTCCATGTCAATACAGCTGTTTCCGTTGTGTATTTACTCTCTCAGATATACTTTCAACAGCTGTACGAATGAATGGTTAAAACAAAAAACTCTATACTTTTCATCTTCAAACGAAGAAAGAAACTGTTACATTAACTAGTTCAAATAAATGCTTCTTCCTTTATCTAATTCTAGCTCAGACTGGGTGGGGAACCTTTGTGCTTCTCTGGAATCTGACACCAAGCGACTCATCAATAATGATAATGATATCGATATAGGGCATATATATTAACAGCAGCCTACTGAATACTTCTAGAACATCTTTATAATATATGTGTACGCTGTCGATATTCGGCCGAATGTAATACTTCTCCCGTATATTAACTAATTTAGAGACGATAACTAATATTCCGAATAAATTAATCCACAACTGTGTCTCTAACAGCTCTCATAACTTCGCTGAAACATTTACAGTAACAATGAACAATACTATGTCCCGTATAATCAATCTAGAACCTCTTTCCTCCTCATAGTATACTGACCATACATATATTATTATATTTGCTACGATATACACGGGACGTTCCCGTGTCTACTACTGCACCTCTTGGGTAACTCCTGACAGGGAACCTTCCAACTAACTCAAAGCAAGGATAAAAATGCAACACGTTCGGTATTTAGGTGGTTTGTACCTGGCGGACCAAACCTTTTGGAAAGTCAATCCGCAATCAGGCTTTTCGAAGCTTTTTGGCGCTGGGATAAAATTCCGAAACCTAAAAACTTTGGGCAGTTTGTTCATCCAATCCATAGGGTCGTTTTCTGCTCTTTCCATTGGTAGCAGCCAAGGCGTGCCAGCCATTCCCGCGTCGTTGGCGATAATTTGCTGGAGTCTGGCCAGGGGTGACCCAGAGGTGATCCATGGTCCACTGTTTCTGGCAACTCGAGGCAACTGAGCAGGAATGGACGGAAGGACGACGTGACGGTGTGCTCGCCGGAGCCCGGATGTTTGCCTTGGTGTGCCAGTAACTAACCAAGAAAGATTGTGCAGCATTGTTTCAGGGGAATTTCACTATTGATGACGATGACGATGACGATGACGATGGCGATAACGATAACCATGACAATGACAATGACGACTTTGGTGGTGGGGGTGACTTGATGGGGGGATGCTTCATTTTTCAGAGACTTGGCTCGCTGGTTCGGGACCGGATGAGAGGGGTGGGTGAATGTAGGATATTTGATGCTGTTTCCCTTTTATCCTGAGAAGTGAGTACGGAGATTTGGTATTCGGTATTTGAATATTGGGTACTGAATAAATATGGCATATCGACGATGTGGTTGGTGCTCCATCCATCTATTTGCCAGAACAGGATATCTGAATCTTTCAATGCTTACCTGGGTTCTCTCCTCTCGCAATGAAATTACAGTTACCAGTTCATTCTTTCATTTACCAGCAAGCCAAACTCAGACTTTCCATGTCATCAAACGGTAGCTGGATCCATCCGATATTTGATGTCATTGGAACAAAAAACGGAGGTATAGAAAGTGGGATTGCAGAGATTCAAATCCACGTTCGTCCATACCGCAAAGTTACTCATTGACTGGCCCTGCTAACAGCAGTAAGCAGCAAGGCGCTGCCTTGGAAATCTGGAAATTTTCAGCAGTCGAGGAATTAGCATAATTAACCACCAGAGTTTCCCAAGGGGGAAATACGAATATTCAATCCGGGCCAGATGAGTTAAGACACGTAGATGCTTGGATGGGGCTTGTTTTTGCTGGTGATTTTGTTGATTGGGCATCCAGTTATCGGCATTTTGGGGCAACGGAACTGCATCCATGGATGGCATTTGTGATTTAGAGATTGGAGGCATTGGTTAGTTATGGGAATGAAGAATGGAGTTTTCAGGTCTCGCATCTGCGACCAACCACTAACCTAACAGGAACGAACCTATGGAGATTCAGTGGGCCTGCATACATGCATACATGAACACGTCGATGGCGGCTCATGCCATGTAGATTTGCAGCAGAGCCTTTTTGGTATTTGATATTGAAAATGAGAGTGTGTATTGATCCTCATATGTTTCTATGCATTTGTTTCCCTCTTTCGAGTCTGCAGAAGGTCGATTCCTTTTAGCTGCCTTTGTTTTAGAAAGTTTGTTACTGCGGATTATCAACAGCTTTTTCGGATAGATTTCTTTCGCTGCTTTCAGCGGCGTTTGTTCAAAAACGTGTAAGGCTGATTGATGATGGATTGAAGGAAAGTAAAATTCCATTTCAGCCTTAAAAACCAAATATTAATTAAGAAGTTAGTTATAGTTATGTAGCAGCTGTTAGAATTTGTTAAATGCAAATTTTGCAGCGTGAGAAGACCGCAGCTGAAAATAGGAAGAATTAATATCCAACCGCAATAATCAATATGGTTATAACCACTCCATAACCTCGTTCCTTGTTCTTGAATTGATTTTGCTCGTGTCGATACTAAGTTCTACCATGGCAGAGGATAGAATTGTCCCACTCAATCCGGTTGGCTATTTTTGAACATCTGCGCTTCCACATGTTCAACTCTGTCAAGAGGATTTGGCCCCTTGAAGAAAAAGATTGTTTTCTGGACTTTTCCCTTTCCTTGCCTTTTTTTATTATTTATTTATTTTTTTGATCCCTCTTCTTGGACGGACAAGGCTGCAAGGCTATCCCACCAGTGGCGATATTGCTCTCGGATGCTAAACAAAAGACTACCCAGAAGTAAAGGGTGACCTGGTGGGCTATGCGAACGGGAATAAAAGGAATAAATCGGCAAACAACTAGTACCCTGTAACTATTCATCTGTTCCTCTTTGTATGGGTGTGTGCCTGGAAGCCTCCGAAGAGATTTGCGAATATGCCGTAGCGTGATAATACAAATATTGGAGTAATAGTCGAAGAATACTCTGAATCATAGTTTCAGAAGATTTCCATCACCATGGTTGTCCCTGGGGACTTGATTTGATCTCGTCGGATGATAGTGAAAAAGTTTTTTCAATTTCATCATTGTTTGTTTTTTCTTTCTTAGCTTCAAGGCTGTTTCTCGCATCTCTATGCGCCTTTGATTCCAAGTTTAGCTTGCTAAACGTTCACGAAAGGGCGTCGGTGTGTCGCAATTCTCATCCATCCAACCGACCATGATGTCCTTCTCATCAGGGACCTTGAAGGTGTGTTGGTGACGAATTATTTGTCCCAACAAACCGAATATTTTAACATGACGTATGTGGCTGCGTATGGTCGAAGCTGCTGGTCCTGCACAGGTGACAGGAAGAACTGGATAAGCCGGGAGAACGACATGGGTATTTTGAAACCTTGCAGGCGAGGCCAAAAGAGAAAAATGCCTTCGATGATCGATGATCATAAGATCGTCTTGTTACTTCGATATTAGTTCGATATACCTACGGGTTGTCTTGTATGGTAAGAACAGACGTGAAGCTTTCTCAAATTTGTAGAGTCTGATACAAGTTGCAACGCGAAATGCATAAAAGGCCATATTTGAAAGAAAACTATGTAGGGATGGTGAGCTTTATTTTATTAGAACTGGCATTCCTGGTGACAACTTACCGACCACTTTAATTGTTCGGATGTCAAGCCCTGACTGTCAGAAAGATATGGTGGTCAGCTGAGACAATTAGGCAGAAGCAACAGAGCTGGATGCTCATAGGAGACGAGGAGGAATGAAGCTGTTGCTGAACTATTCTGTGGATTAGTTGATCCCATCTCAGGTAATAATATACAACTGGAACGTCTATCCACAAACTATGTGATACAATGAAAATATGAATTGATAAGAAAGCGAAATCCACCGAATTCCCGCTTGACAACGATTAAAAGCATGCCTGGAAGCCGCTATACTTCTATTTATAACTCCCGAACTCCTCGTGCAATTGTAGTTTGATCGTTCCAGAGCAATTCCCCGAGATACCGAACACAGACTCCTTAGACATGAACTTCCAACCCGTCCATGAGTTATCAACCCATCAACCTATCTACCCCCGTTTCATATCAGTCTGACTATTCCTAGTCATCGATTTCAACCTCATCTTCTGCCTCTCCGCCCACTCGCGACTGGCCAACCGGCCCCGCTCCGCCGCTTCAGTCCTTGCTCTCTTTGCCGCCTCCTCCTTCTCCTTCCGCTCCCTGCCCCGTTCGATTTCATGGACCCGGTCACGAGCAAATATCTCTTTGCCCCGCAATCTTTGCGTGAGTAGGGTATTACTATCTGTTCTGGTAGCAGGGGCAACTGGAGTTCTGACAGTACAGACTGGTGAAATTGCGCCCTCATTATTATCGTCCTTGTCCTTGCCTTCAGAGCGTGATCCATTGCGGTTTAAGCTGCGGTTGGTGCCGTTTGGAGCTAGAGGGCGTCCTGGTGCAGCTGAGGACGCGGACGTTGAGTTTCCTATAGCTTTTGTGCCTGATGGAGTACGATTGGACCCAGTGCTTCCTATGGAATTAGTACGTAGGGAGCTAGTTTTGATAGGCATAATCAAGCTGGACCTCTTTGGCTGCACTGATGGAGCGTTTCTAGAGCTTTCAGCCGAAGAGACTCTGTTTTGCACCTCCTCCGCCTTGAGCGTCGCTCGAATCCGACTAGCAATTGTTTCTTTAACAGGAAATGCTGGTGTGGTAAAGTTTCGTGCCGTTCTCGCTTTAAATTCTCTCCTTCGTTGCAGTTCTTCTTCTTCCCGCTTCAAACGTTCTTCCCATTGCGCTCTCTGACGTCTTGATATGGCCTCTCCTGGCAATTCGAAAGTTGGGCGCGTCGGGGTTTTGGTGGATTTAGAAGGTGTAAAGGCGGGTTTTGCTAGACTACTGATGATGGTAGAATTGGAACGAGGCTTACTTGTTCCGAGTGTGTGCGTTGACACTGTACCCGAAGGTAAGCTAGGATGGCTGCTTTTTCTACATATGCTGGGTCTGGTAGTAGCTAACTTTGCATCATTTGAGCCAATATTTGAGGACAATTTAGGATGGCTGCGTCTCCTGGAATTGGGTGCCGATTTCGCAGCTTCTGGGACTGAATGGGCTCTTTTGCTGACAGACCGATCAGGGCCTTTTATTGAACGGCTAGTGGTTAGGGAGGATTGTCTATTTTGTGCAGAAAACAATAGTGATTGAGACATTTTTTGTTCTCTGGCTTGTGGCCTCCCATTATCATCGACGCACTGTTGTTGGCGAGATACAATCTGTTTCTTGGAACCTGGTTCTGTACCGTTCTTCTGATTTATGCCAGGATGTATCCCGGAATTGGCAGCTCCTGAAAGGATGATTCCGTCAACCGGGGTGCCTGCTCTTTCAGGAGAATCAAGTGCATGCTCCTCGACAACCGGCAGTGCCTGTCCAATCTGTTCAAGCGCATCTTCAAGAGCATCAATAGCATCTAGAGGGTCTTCGATATCCTGATAATTTCTAGCTTCGGGTTGAGGCATTGCTGGCGTGGGTCGCGCAGCTATATCAACCCATTTGTCATTGCCTTTTGAGTTTGAATGGGACTGCGAAACGATAGATTGTAAGAATGAATCCTCTTGCTGGTCTTGATCTGATAAAGCCTCCATTACCGGACTTTTGTGAACTGCTGGATCGAACCGCTGAGTCTGACCAAATCGTGGTGGGCTTAACCCTAGTGCTTGTGATTTGGGGGAATCTTGTTCCTGTGACAATGGCAACATTGGATCCGAGGATGTAATATCTGTTAAGTATGGGTTGTTAGTTTAAGGGTTAACCTAGCACGTTTAACAAATCAAATTTGGAAATCAAGTAATGAAGCAAGACAAAACACCACCAGAGTTTGAGATTACACGCCTTTTTGACCTTGTTGACGATTGATAACGTCGCCGCTAGGTGAACTGGCCATGGTTTGGATGTCCCTTCCCCCAATCTCACCCAAACACGTACTTCTAAACACTTTAATTCCAAGATCTTCGGGGTTTACTAGATCTCGTATGCTTCTCGGTCTTTTTATCTGGACACCTGCTGCTTCCTCTGTGGGCTTTTGTGTTGAGGTTTCGTAAAGTCGTTGCTTCAGCTCCGCCGGAATGGAAGCTTGTACAAGCGGGGAGAGATCGTAGTCTCGGTTGCCAGTTATCTCTCCAAGGGTATTTCGCGTGCAGCAAGAGGTTGGCGTATTATTTGATCCTTCAATTGATTTTGTGGGGTCCTTCAAGTCATGGATGTTGTTGCGGCGCAAGGCAACGCGTGTGGCGCGAGGCATTATCCAGCTAGATTTCGTTATCCAAAGGTGTGTTAGACTGATGGACAATAGTAAGTTTCCTCATCTGGAATTGGCGTGATTCACTGCAAGTATTTGGGTTGCGCTGGTGACTGTTGCTTGATCTACTTGGTGAATGGGAAAATGAAGACTGATTTAGCGAATATACAGGACACGAGGTTGTACAAGTAATTTCCGCACCAGTATGCCAGTGAATTCTGTCTTGTGGGAATAGCTAGAGACAAGCTACCAGGGAGTGGCTTGTTGGAGTATTCGCAATTCAACATCCCCAGGTCCAAGATCTTTAAAAGGAGGGGATTTTGAATCTGGGGTTAAGGTTGTTTGTTTACAGGTTAACCGTGATTAGCGCGGTGAGTTATGTGGATTTGGCCCGCGCCAACCAAAGGGCTAAAATGAGAGCGACACGAACCAAAGAACAATAACTTCCACAATAATTATTATCGTGAAATATGGCTGATTTTTGCGAGCAGCGTTACTAAATCTCGTTTCCATTGTTAACCATCCAACTTTACTCCCTAATAGCGAGGGTTATGGCATTCTGGCTGAACTTTTGCAATCAAGTGCAATTAATCTTGCCATGGATTCATCATATATACCAAACGCCAATATCACCAGGGTACGCTAAAACGAAGACCAAAAAATCTGTACAGGGATATAAACATGCCGGTCATATCAGTGTTCATCAACGTATTCACCCCTCGCTTGACTCGCCTCCCCTCCTTCGCGACATGCTTGGCTGTTCTGCAGGGATACGAACCAGCGTTGATGGGAGACGCAGTGCCTTTTGGTCGTCATTATCCGCTTCCCTCCCTTGGACAGGAGAATCCCGTTCACTTGCTGCAGCTGCCTTGGCTAAGGAAGGGAGAAAAATATATGATCAGTTTCTAGTTTACTCTCACTTTTAATATGCAGTCAGGAGTAGGCTCACTGGATGCCATGCTGATTGCACTGAGAACATTACCCCAATTGGCCATCACGCATGCTACGGCTGTTTTGACTCCATCCGTGGTTAGTCCTTCTTGTATTCGCACTTGGGATTGCTTCCGTTGCACCATAAAAAAAATTAAAATAAAAATAAAACCCCTCCCCTCCAAGAAAAGAGAGAGCTTTTAAGAGGAAGAAAGTGAACGGGGATAACATATGAACCTTCAGTTCCGCCTTTAAGAGTAGATAGCTTCTCCTCCAATGCTTCTATTTGCGCTGCCAATGCCCCACTCACGTCGCGTAGTTGCCTGAGGTTTTCAAGCTCGAGTCGCTTGGATGCGATCCGCGCTGCGAGAACGGACGACTGCTGTGAAGTAGCGGAGTATATGGAGGACTGCCTTAGGGATGAAGAGCTCCCCGTCGAGGGGAACACTGATGTTGGTCTGGACATTATGTTCCAATCCTGAAAGATATAAAAAGATGCTGTTGAAGTAAGTGTCTGCCGATGGTTGAGGTCGGGGTCAGTGCAATAAAGTTGATATCAACACGTGATCGAGGCACCAAGGCTTCTGTTTTAGCGCGAACCTAAACGCACACTCGGAGCTAACCGCTTCTGGCCAAATATCAACAAACTTCCTCTTTTTGTTTTGTACCATCGCAATATTAAAAATATCATAATTTATCATCCACTCCAACCAACCACCAACCACCATTCTACCATCCCCAATCATCATCGCAAACGGCACGCGAAGACCCGGACAAGCGGCTGGATTGTAGAATAGAGGGCATTTGCGAGGGTTATATTGAATTCCAGAACTAACTAGGAATGCCCTAATTCATGATCCAACCATTTCTCCCTTGTCCAATCTTTGTACCAACTTTGACTCGACAACCAAACCTCTACAACTTGCCGTTATGGCGAGGTTAAATGAGATCCCCGTTGCTGCTGAATCAGTGGAGTCTTGTATGTTGAAATTCCTCTTTTATGAAGTTTTAGAAGGACTCCGCTGACTTGGAGGAACAGTAAAACGGCGGTTCATAAGGCAGAATCGCGAAATAGCACGTGCAAATTCCATGCAGTCACTCCGCATACGCACTCTTGAATCTGAAGTATCTCGCCTTCTTGCTGAGAATGTTACCCTCCGGGAAGAGGTCATCTCTGCGAATCAGGAGCTTGAAAAATTTCAACATCACCCACACCTGAACGACGAAATCGGTACCCTAAAAGCGAAACTAGACGCGAAATTGGCCGAGTTTGGGAGCTTAATAGCAGATCTAGGCTCACTGCCTCGGAGGAGAGAGCTCCTTGCGGGAGTAAATCAAATGCCCATTGAGCGGGGGTTTCAAATTTCTCCAGAAATCTCTCGCCGGAGGTCATTAGTAAAGGCTGCTCGGGAAACCATGGATGAAGGCCGGCTCCCCGCTATTCTAGAGGACAAATTTTACCGAAGATTATCATTAGAGTAAGGGGATGCTATATTGTAGCCCAATTACGGATTGTAGGCATACTGACGAATTTCACAGCAGCGCAGACGCCGCCGAACTAGAAAACGAGGAGCACGCGGAGAACGAGGAGAACGATTCCCCAGTTCCATCATCTTCTCCGATTTTCCAACCAGAGCTTCAGCTTCACAAGCCCGCTGATTCTTCCGTGGATAAAGAACCTCATATGATTTTCAAGGGCGCCGAAAACCCAATTGATTACTCAGAATCTATTTCGAATTCTGGAGCGAGGAGGAAGAGGAGAGATAGTTCGGTGTTAAACACTACCCCCCGGAGCGCAGAAAGAGAAAACAGGGATCAAGCATTTGTACCAATACACATTTCAAAATCAGGATCCAAACGCAAGCTTAGCGTGCCGGATGACGAGGAGTTAGTATCGCACGATCTCGACGATCATGACGACTTCCAATACACTCGAATAGGGGACTCGTCAAACCACGTCTCCAGGGATTCCGTCGTAGAATCAGAAAGCACCCCAACTAAAGCCACAACGAAGAAATCAGGGACGCAACGAAAGGAGAGAACAGCCGTTCGTCGTGCTCTAGGCCCAAGTACGCATTATCTTATATTGTTCTCTTTGACTGGAACTAAGCTAATATTTCCATTCACAGAGACCGCAAATACCAAGCAAAGATCCTCTACCACGGAAAAGGTTTCCGCTACTGGAAATTGGGAAAAGGAGACCCCGAAACCAAATCCTAAACCGCCTAAAAATAGAAGTCACGATATTGTTGAGAAGTCTATCCCTACAGTACCCATTGAGCCAGTCAAACAGAAGAAACAGGAAGTTGTAGATATCAACTTATGGCCCAAACAACTCCCCGTTGAGGAAAACCAGGAAACCCTCCCTAAAGCACATGCTGGGCTAGACACCAGTTATGCCGTCCCGACAGACTCTTCAGGGACCAGGGAGACGCCAGCACTACCCCACTCGAGGATGAGTCGTCCACCTCGGCGTTCTCGTGGTTCCGTAAGTTATGCAGAGCCAAATCTCAGGGATAAAATGCGACGCCCAACAAAAGAGCTTGTGGATGCTGTTACTGGTGAAGCTCGTTTTCGACGAGCCTCGAAATCTGAAATGGAAATATCCAAAGATAGGAACAGTGAAGGAAGCAACCATAGCTTCGGTATGACCAGTTCAGCAACGGACGGAGAATCCATGTCTTCAATGACTTATAGTGATTCGTGCGCCGGCCTTCTAGGGGGAACGGATGACAACTCGATGGTGCAGCTACCATCCAATGTCATGACAAACAGGAAACGACGGACACTTTCAGCGAACAAGTTCGACCTCGAGACTACGTCAGAGGGGGGACCATCGACGTCTAGCGTTGCTATATCAACTCTTATGGCGGGGAGTAAAAGACGGAGCAATCGTACCAGGGACACTAGTGAAGTTCTGGCTGAGCAGGAACAAAATGTCGCCCCAAGAACAACAACCTGTGGCTCTCGAAGGCAATCCTCCAACTCCACTACCGTCGAAACTAGCTCCAGATCTCGTCGAAGCCAGAGTTCTACTAACCTCTCAAATGAAAATGTCGCAGATATTCAAGCAACATTGGAATCAGCGGGTATAAGCACAAACAGCAGGCGGGGTGAGGATAACCATCACTCTTTCTCTTCACACTCGCGAAGTGTGAAGGGTGTCTCGGAGTTCGACTATGACGCCTATCTGGATGCACAGGAAAGCGTGAATGATGTCAAACGGGTGCAACGGCTTGCAGAGTCGAGGCGGAGGAGTATGATGCTTTGAATGCTTTAGAAAAAATCACGATTATATAGATTTCCTTACAGTTGGAGCTAGGATCAGGGGGTAGTGGACCATATTTACTCTCGTAGCAGTCCCGAGGACGATCATTTTTTAACGACTTCTTTCCTTTTATCACTGTTCAATATATGGTTTATTTTATAATACCCCACTTATGGCGAGTTTTCTCCTTATCGCGGGTGCCTTTTAATATCGGTGAACTTCATCATGTTATCCTGTCATGCTCGTTGGGCGTTGCTCTTTTACTTAGGTGGCGGTTTTCGATGAGGAAGATACAGTAGTAATTGTACGTCTACATTGTCACCCGCCCTTGACAGTCAAAAGACACAATGGGTGAAACAGAAAAGAATGAACTTCTCAGAAACTTTTTTCATTTGCACTCTTATGTAAAACAAAAAAACAAAAGCTGTGACCTCCACTGACTGATAAACGTTATCTATTTCGTGTATCTGTCATACTGAGAATCTGGGCTGCTTCTGTTGAAAATCGAAGTTGGAGCAAGGGGATGAAAATAAATGATACTAGTAGTATGTGATTTCTGAAAGCCTATTTTAATGCTTCTGGGTCTAAATATTGCTGTTTTGTATCCGTCTTGTCTAGGAGCTGGTACGTAATGGTAAACCAGACCAACTCTTATCGTCGTCATATTGCGCAATGCGCCAATGTACATGGAACCTTTCGGGGGGGTCTTTAAAAAGAGAAAAGGAGTAGGAAGAAGAGGGATAACTAACCAGCAGTTGGGATCACCCAAAACGCCATCCGTGTAAACATGCAGGACTTTATCAATGCAAACCGGTCCCCGTTTTCTGCTGCTCCGTGCACATAACAAAAACATCATCAATTCAAAACGTAATTCGTTACGTAGCGGCGGTACAAAGAAGACGCAAGGAAAATTGAAAAACATTTCGCTCGTCAATTGTATAAATAATGCAGTAAGAAGACAAGCTGCGGAAACCTCCCTGCCTTGTCTAATAAAACACCGTGCAAGGTTGGTATCTTAACTTTTTTTCTATAGTTCTCTTATGCAGGTTTATTTCGTTCATTCCTTCTTCGGATGCCTTTTCGGTACACGCTCATACGCATTTGGTCGCGGTCGACGATGTACCCGTATTCGTTTAGGTTTATCTGTCTTCCCGCTGCCACCACCATTCGACGGTTCCCTGCCACAACTGTCGTTGTCGCTTACATTGTCATCTCCACCACCAGTGCCATCACCATGCTCTCCTTGTTCGGAAGGTCCGTCACTCTGAGGGCCGTGGTGGTTGCAGGAGAGGTCCCGTTGTCGGTCACGAGGGTTTCGGTTACTTAAACCGTGATCGTTGGCCATTCTGGCTTCCCCGGTATCAAGGTCGCTGTCGCTGTCACTGTCGTCCGAGGAAGAATCTGAGGAGGATTCGGAGCTGCTTTCACCCACCGGACGGGTTTTGTGGAAGATGCAGCAAACTGGATTAGACGGTTAGTTAGGGAACGTAGAGAAGGAGGCAAACCATTGCAAACGCAAGAATATATGCCAACAGTTCAAAGGAAGCAAAACACTACCCATCCAACGAACATAAGATGTGAAAATAAACAAAGCAAAACGAACCAAAAATTCCACGAAACCACAATAGCAGTCATGTTTTACATACCCTTCGAACTCTTCCTCCCCAGCCCCTCGTTATCAACCACATCCTCCGCCCACCGTATCCTCCTTCTACTAGCCTCTCCCACTTCCGTCTCAGCTTGCACGCCCGTGTCTGCCGCAGCTCGTAACGTCAATCGGCCCATTATTCTATTTTGCTGTTGTTCTTCTTCTCCCGCCACCGTCTCCACCTGGGCTACGGTTCCTCCGCCACGAGACCTGAGCATTGTGGCGCCGCGACCTCTGGACATAGAGATTTACCGCTGCTCCTTGCTCTTTGTTCTTTACTTGTGCCCTTTTTCCTCGGATTCTTTTATAGATGGGGTTCTAGGAATGGCCGCAGGCGAGGGATGGAGATTGGGTTATGTGAGAGCGAAGTTTGCAGGTTCCAGGCAACAGAATGCGAGAATGGGTTTGAATGATACGTCTACTTTTGGGGACGGAAATAACGAATGAAATAGTCGCGGTAAAAGCAGCGTGTTTGTTAATTGTAGACACTGCAAGTGGTTCATGTATTGTAAGAAAAAGCACATAAAAAGCCAGGATCAAGCTGGGCAAAAGGAACAGTGGACATAGTTAATACCCTTTTGGTGCCGGGCCATTATCACGTGACATGTTTCCCTCACAATAGTTGTTTTCGCAGCTAGCAACCTCAGCAATTAATCAAGCTTGCTATTCTGTCAGGTTACGAGATCCATTTTACGCTCAAATGCGGCCAATTCAGGAGTTATCTTGTCAAAATCAGGGATTGCTTGCTTCATTTGATCTCTCTATCATCTTATTTGAAAGAAAAAATCTACACTTTGATAGAGTCTATGATGCGTTTTTGAGTTAGTTGATGACATACATGTAAAGAAGATGAAATATTATAGAATATTCTGACTTATAAATCACCCTGAGAAGACACATGTTTTGATGAGATTCTTCCCTAGAATAGAGAAGTTCTTCTAAAAGTACTTTTATATCTATATTTTCCCTCTTCTTTACAAGACTATTATTATCAGATATACACTCAGTTAGAGTATTAAGAGACAAACAAAACCAACAAAACCTAACAGTTGCTGAAGCTATAGAAAATTGAAATGTAAGATTTCAAAGATATTATGAATAGTTAAGTCCTCTAAAATTCTTAAAAAAGACTCTCAGAAGATAGAAAATTTGATTTGAGATAATTAATCTATCTGAATTTACTCATATTTAATTTACTTCTTTAAATGATATTCTATAGAATTTCATCTTCATGTATCATCAAAAGATTTCAGGAACGTGTCAAGGACTCCGCCAAATAGAAAGTGTAGCTCTCATAATATATAAAGGAGATTTCAAATAAGATGATATAGATCAAATAAAGCAAAGCAGTCGCTGATTTCGACAAGATAACTCCTGAATTGGCCGCCCAAACAAAACAGGTCTCATAACCTGACAGAAATGGCAAGCTTGATTAATCCCAAAGGTTGCTAACTCTGAGTAACGACGATATGGTGGAAAACAGGTCACGCGACACCCGGGGTTCGACAATATTCCTTACTTCTGTAGACGTTTATTTTCTTGTGAGTAACGAACTAACGTACTTTCTAAATATATATTGATCATCCTGCAGATATTTTTCATATTCCATTCGGTCTCGATTTAATTTTATCCATCCTTTTTTGATCACTCGTACAGGGCAAACGCGGGAATCACTCAATCAACGGTCAACGGTCAACGGTCAACTGTCAACGGTCAACAGTTAACGGTCAACATATCTAGATCCCATATTCAGATCTAGTTTAAAACAAACACACACTCCCTCCCAGTCTCGTTCATTACTCCACCTCCAACCTCAACTTTCTCAACGGCCCCTGAAGACATGTGTATATGTGAGGAGAACCACCAAGCCCCGTAGTCTCACCCGTAATTTGAAAAAAGAGAGAGCATAAAGAAACAATGAAAAGTGACCAACGATGAATCCGTACGAAGAGGAAAGTTTAATATAGAAAAAAAGGGCAAAAAGAGATAATTATTAAAAAAAGAAAGAAAAGAAAAAAGGTAACCCAGTACCAACCAACAACCTCCATCAATCATCAAACTAACCGAATGTTTCTGATTTCTGACATCTGGTATTAGTAATCAATAGCAGTACATATCCCAGCCATCCAATCCATCCTTGTCCATATCCTGCTGGTGAGATAAAGACATACACGAGGACCCATCAGTCGCTGTAGGTTTGTTGCTAGTCGTACTAGTCGCAGTGCTATCACAGCTAGACTTCATCTCCGCTCCTCTGAGGACTTCAGCCCGAAGCTCCTCATCAAGTCACAACTCATCCTCCTGATCCATTTCAGCAGGTTTCAGCAGTCCACCAACCTTCATCGCCCGGTCCCTCTCCGCAGCCCTAGCGTCCCGCTGTGCCTGTTCGCGCTCCTCGGCATAAAGATCAGCGTTGTCGCCAGAAAATTCTTTCAAAGAGATTAGGAAATCGCGGAGGTGGGTTTTGAACTTGTTGAAGTCGTCATTTAGCGCGAAGAGGCCAGTGACAAATTGGCGGATTTGGACTCTATTGTATTGTTAGTAATATGTTCTATTCCAGAAGTAGCAAAAAGAGAGGAGTTGAGGGAATGTTCAGGTTTGATTGTCGTAGCTTACTCTTGCAGATTCTTGAAGGCGCCCTGAAGTAAATTGGCAACATATTGCTCGAGGAAATCCTTGTTGGAAGTACCGATTGGAGCCTGCTCCGGAGAGTATAGGGGCTCATGGATCTTGCCAATTTGAACGAAATAAAACATTCGGGAGAGAAGCATCGCTTGGTTTTTAAATCCTACGAAAGCAAGTGGGAAAAGATATCCGGGTTAGCTTTTGTTTGCAGCAAACCTTCCGCCAAGGACAGGGAAAGAAAAGACGGAACATACCAGCTTTATGATCAGTATCAGTGAGAACGAAAAAGACATCCTGCAGGATGGGAAGGTAGAATTGCCGGAAGAAAATGCTCGACGTTTGTGGGTCCGTTTCAGCCATGTTATTCACCAATTCGAGACACATTGTTAGGCCAGTGTTTTCCACTTCCCTGTTATCATGCTTGCTAGCCCACATGCATGAATCGATCACGAATTTGAACTGACTGGCGTCCAGCTTCAGGAGCGCGGGGAAGCAGTAAAGATTGATTGCTTGGAGGAGTTTGAAGAACTCCACGCGATGTTCTGGATATTCGTGGAAGTCCTTGTTGATCATTTCCAGCGTGCATTCGAATACACTTTCCATGATAAGAGGCACTTTGTCGTCCATTAGGTTCTGTTGCTTTGTTAGTCCTGGTCACAAACGAAAGAGAAACATGTCCTTCTTTCAGAAGATAGCAGGAGAGACCTACATGAAGCTTATGGATGATGGTAGTCATAACGTTGAGAACCTCTGCTTCCCGAGCGTCCGGAACGTTGCGGTTGTAGTCTACAAGAACAGCTTCCAGCAAGGGAGGTACCATATTAGCATTAACCATCTCCAGATCATCCGCTTTTTCAACGTAGATATTTATAAGTTTCAGGATTTCCTTCTTAATCGTACGTAGACCCCGAACCTTGGGCGTTTTCGTGGCGATGTTTCCTGCCAAAGAAAAGCGTTAAATGGCAACAATCATTAAAATTACAATAGGCTGTCAAAAATGTAAAAACTCACCATCTCGAACAACGGCATCAGATATAAGCTGACTAGAAGCTCTATACATATTGAGCATATCATGATAGATCCGGCCGATTTGAGAGTAAAAGTAGCTTCCAATCGACGAACAAGCAGCAACATTCGTTTTCATAATGTTTCCCACAATCTTAATGGTCTCTCCATCTTGCAAAATGGACGGATCCTGGTTTGCTTGGCTGATGATCGCGTCCCAGGCCGAATTCGGTAACGACATGAGATTCTCAATCAGTCGATCTTGCAAGCCCTTTTGGCCCTGGGCTGAAATCATATAGCCGCAGGCTTCGTAAAAGGTATGAATTTGTTGCGGGGACAAATCGCAGGTGATTTTTCGCATGGTTCGGACGATTTCCTCGATGAAAGGCTCCGTCTCACCAGGCTGGAGAGCGACGAAATGGCGTTTGCACTTGTTGGCAATTTTGATGAAGGTATCACACGCCATGTCTTGGACGCCTGTAGAATTTTCAGGTTAGTATATTGTCATGGTAAAATGAGGGTATGTAAAATAGGGACTAACCTTCGTGTGTTTCATGCATAAATTCGAACAACTTGTTGACCACCGTCTTCAAAAATTTCCAGTGCGCTTTCAAAAACCGTGGGTACTGTCCGACAATGTACATGATATTACTGGCCACGACGGCCTTATTGTCTTTGCCCCGTTTCATTTCAGTAAGGCCAAGGAGGTCCTTGATAACAGTGACGAGGAATCGCTTTTCAGTTTCTTCATTCATCGCGCCGGATATAGAGCCAATCGCCCAGCACAACGTATTACAGTTCGCCCACGACCATTCGGAGCCATCGACTTGCTTGGCCAATTTGTCTGCCATGATGTTTTCCGTATCTACGACATCTAGATGAGTAAGATATACCAAACATTCTCTTGTGGTCTTGTAGAGCTGGATAGTGTCGCTTTCCTTCACAAACTCGCGCACGATTTCGCCTTCCTCGTTCTCAACGATTAGAACTTCCTCCGGCCTCACCATCTTTTCTATCATGACGGTTCTCAGACTAGATAATACTTCCTGGTATTTGTGCTTTCGTAGTGGGTAGTTCGCAAGTGTGTTGGGATGGGGAGCACCGCCGTTGGATAAACCGCTAACGCCCATGTTGACTAAGGGGTTGATGTCTGTGATCGGAAGCTGCTGCATTTCCTCGTACAATTCCTGTACCAGTTTTGTCCAGTACTCAAGACAGATCTTGAAAATTTCCCTGTCGTCAATTTGGCTTATACGGATAAGATAGAAATGAGCGTGAGTGAGGTAGTCGCGATTAGGAAGTTTCTCGATGACCTATCATCACGGGTTTGTCAGTGTTACCGTGATAGAGAACAACGGAGTTTAAAAACAGGGAAACAAGGGGAGGGGAACCTACATTTAGTCGAACACTGAAGAAATTGCAAAGGAAAAGCGCTAAATTCAATACAAACTCCTGATCGCGCGAATTGCTAGTAGCATAGGTCTGCTTGAGATCCAACGACAAGGGAATGATCTTCGACACCGTTGTCAATGTGTCCGTGAACAACTGGACGAGTTTCTCATCATACGAGTACTGAGACCCAATTTGAAGACCCCCAATCTCCGTCAGACATTTGAGCGTCACGTTCCTGAAATCAGGTACATCCAAAAACCTATTGAGGAGAGTGTTGATGATGGGCGTTTCAAAAACATATCCTAAAGGAATCCAGTTCAGGAATCGGAGCAATGTTTCCAATGTGGCTTTGATGAGGCTGCTCTGGTTCGCGGTGTTAAGTACCTCAGAGCAAAGTTGGAAGATCGAAGAGAATTCTTGGCACATTGTTGTCTTTAGGTTCTTTGCCTTCGCGGATGTCATCTGGTCCTGGGAATAATCGAAAACTTCCTCCGATAGCAGCCTGAGAATAACCATGTTATTCTCACATATCGACAGACTAGTGTGGCAAGACGAGATGATCTCGTTAATGAAGGTTGGCCAGTTATGTGGCCACTCTTGCTTCAAGATGGAAACCAGCACGAGGTTGAGTTTATTAAGGAATGCTCTCTCTGTTTTTAGTTTATCTTCCGTCTTTGAATGTTCGATGATGCAGTTGACAATGAAATTCCGAATGCCTGACAATGCGTGTAAACATAGTTGGAACAGCTGCAACAGAAGAAAATTGGCAAGGAGGGGAGGTACCTTGACATTGCTCCCTAGGAAGAACCTTCCATCTTGTCATAATAACATCGTCCAACACCTGTAAACCGAGATCTAGAAGGCAACTGTTAGCCCACGAACTTCCCGCACATATATTCTAGTGGCTGAAAGAAATCATTCTTACATTTCGTGTGGACATAACCGGATTCCTGCAGGATTGTCCCTACTAACAGCCAGGCATCAGGGCTTTGCTTGAACTGCATTTCCCAAGAGATTGTCAGATAACCTAATTTTTCTCATAAAAGGGAGAGGAACCCGGGAGACCGGGGATTGAAAAAGAGGGCGCGGGGTTAATCACCTCGGTCAGGGTCTGTTGCGCTTGTTTTCGCTATATATTTGGATAAACAATGTCAGCTTCTGTTTCCTCTTGAAAATAATGTTTCATATATATCATTTTACACCAATCCACAGCTCTTCTCCTTTCCCCTGCTTCTTTCTTTCCAAGGAACTGTTTCAATCGAAAATCCGCCGCTAAAAATAACCAAAGATCGAAGTTATAAACCGAAAGATAGAAAATCGCATTAACTCACTACATCGCCCTTTCCTTCATAGAAGGCTCGAACGGTATTATCTAGCTCTGCGATTGAAACCGACATGCCGCGCCAAGGGGGGAAAAGAAGAAAAAGAAAAAGAAACCAGGGGACGCGCCCTGTTTGACAAAACAAAGCTTTACAAAAGGTTCACGTCCTTGGATTTTTCTTGTTTTCCCACTTTTTTATTTGAATATGGGTGGCCGGGGTGGCCGGGAATTACGGGCAATCGATTTAAGGGGATAATGGTAGGCTTTCTGATTGGTTTTTATAGAAAATTCGTTGGGTGAGGGTGGAAGCGGAGGGAGAACGGGGGTGTTGGATTTTGGTAGTAAGTCTGCTGGTTGCTGAAAAGCGTTTCAACGGCGAAAACACGCGCTATGGTATTGCGTTTGAAAGAAGGGCGTGTCCACTATGTTCGATTTTTGCTATATTTTTATTCTGCCTGTTAGCTCTGTGATAGAGAGAAAGAGAGAGAAGCACAGAGGCCACTTACCGTTTTAAAGGGAGCGGGTTAGAACAAGCGGTATGGCTATGTCACGAATAAACAAGTCTATTGGAGGGCATGTATTCCGGGTATGTTATTGTGTATGGGCAGGGGGGTCTCTTGAGCTGTGTGAACAGGATAAAAAGGAGAGGTTGGTTGCCAGGTGGGGAGGAGGTTGAGGAGAGAGGAAAGAAACAGGAAGAAGATGCAGAGATGGGTAAGACCTTGAGTTGGGTGAGGAGGTTGGTTGAGGAGATGGTCGACAAGCGGGCTCAGGCGGGTGGAGGAAAAGGCGGCGGATTCCTGGGAGGGAGCAGTTCATAGGGCAAAGGCAAGGCTTAGTCAGCGGGTGGGTGTTGCCCCGCTCTGTTCCCAACTTTGGTTTTCCCTCGCAACGAGAAGAAGATGAAAAGGGAGAGAGTTCTCCGCATAGGCTCCCTACCTACCTGTGGGATATGGGGATGAGTCTTCTCCCAGCTGAATCGGACAGCATACGCCTTGGATGTCTTTATTCCATACAGGTGAAAATAAATAAGTGGTTTCGGGTGCTCTTTGACGCCTCAAGGGCCCCCCCATCTTGCACCGATTGATACTGGACAATAACCTCAACTCAACATACCTTCCTAGGTATATGAGACACCTAATAAATTTCAACTGAAGATAGGAGTAATAATAATAATAATAATAATATCGTAATCACGAAATCAAATCTTCACCATCACATTGATAGCATTACGTCATAAACCTATTGAAGACCTTCACATTCGCAACCCTCTCATCAAACAAGGTAACTAAACAAGCAAGTGACTTGCACATATCAAAGGGAAAAGAGGAGGGATGAATCAGCCCAAACACACAACAGCGTCGGCAAAGGCGAGAACGGGAACCATAATTTCATTCGAGATCTGATGAAGAATAGGAAAACATGCAGAGACACATACAATTTATATAGATATGCAAAAATATACGCGGGTGTAAAAGGGGGAAGGATCAAAGAGCAAAGAAAGGAAGGTAAAAGTTGATATCGCGAGCGTTGTTCGTTCTCATCAAGCGATAAGGGGAACAAGAAGTGGAAAGAAAAAGAAAAGGAATAAAATAATAATGAAAATAAAATAGATGAATCTTTTCGACCAGAGATGTAAAACTAATACAAATAAAATCGCGAAAAAATATGCATTTTCAACCAATGAGCAGGCGGAATGAAAAATGGAAGGAAAAGGAAACAGAAATTATACTCATTTCCACTCAAATCATCTGAGCCAGCCAGATCACGACAGGGTCTGTGTAAGGCAACTGAGACGCAACTTCGGAGATGCCATGTGGAGGAAAGGAAATGAGGCGGGAAATAAGAAAGGAATTAAATGGGTGAAGCCAGAAGAATATAGGGGTTCATCATAATGTTCCTTCACCATCTAATTATTTACCTAATATTTTTCAATAAATTTTTTTTTATAAAAAAAAAAGAGCGCACCCAGAAAGATTCTGCGGATAACCGAAACATATATCAAGCTCATAAACTCCATTCTCACCCGGATTAAATATAAGAATTATATATATTATCATAAGAACATACGATAATATTAATAAATATATTCACGGGAAATTCGGCTTCAGCCCTTGAAACCCATACGGCAGAATCTGCGACTTGACAACTTCCCCAGGAGCAATATACGCGCCCCTCCCCAGACTCACCCCGGGCAAGATCGTAGCTCCCGCGCCGATCCAACAGTCTTCAGCAATGACGACAGGGCGACCCTGGTACCGACTCTTCGCCCCTTTACGATCCTGCATGCTCCCCATCGCCATGGAACTTAGGATGGTAACGTTAGGACCTATCCACGTATGCGCCCCGATAGTGATCGCACAATCATCCACGAGAAGACAGTTCTCGGATATCAACACATCTTCGCCTATATTGATGTTGTAGCCGTAATGGCAGTTAAAAGGGGTTTCGACCACGACGCCAGGTCCTAAGGAGCCGATGGGGGTGCTCGTAGTTGTTGTTGGGTCTTCCTGTGGGTCTGGTGGGGGCATGAGGATTTGCTTTAGCAGACGAGTTCGCTCCTGGGGAGCGATGCCAAGATTCGGATTACCGGCGTTATTGAATCGCCATAGTGCAGCTTTGCAGCGCTCTCGTTCTTTGATGAGCTGGGGCGCAATGTGGGCTACGTAGGGTTCGCCGGCCAGCATTTTCTCCTTTTCCGTCTTGATCTCAAAGGGTACGTGTGGCTCTAGGTTGAGAGCTAATCTAGCCTGTGCCGAGTAGCTGCTTGTGTCAACGTGAGATTGTTGATGTTTGGGACGCTGGCTCATGTCTCCTTGGAAAACAGGCATTCCGGGTTTCTGATGAGGATTGGCATGAGACATTTCCCGCAGTGCGGCATGATAATCGGTCTTTGATTGCTCTGCACGAGACATGTTGTTAATACCGGGACGATCTCGAAACTCTCCTTGGGAAGGATGTTCCGGCGTTGAAGAGGAGGGACCAGATGGCCAGGTACCTTTCGACCACGAACCTCTAGATCCCGTGCCAGTTGGGCTTGTGATGTACTGTGAAGCAGTACGCTCGTTTTCGTCTATGGGGATAGGTCTAGACTTGCCATTATCTGAATGAACTGTGGTTGGACCCCTCTCGTGTCGTTGGGGGCTGATATCGTGTATGTACTGAGGGGAAACCTCAGAATAGCCGTCTTTGGCTTGGAGTGGAACGGGCCCTTTGGCAGTGGAGGGCTTCTGCCACGTACTTCGGGACGAGTAACCCTCACATAAGAAACCACCGCGCAAGCAGTTATTGCCTTTGTATTTAAAATCGCCGGTTAGTATACTTGTCCATGCTTTTTTGGGGGGAAGATGGCACTTGTGATGTTGGAAGAGAAGAGTAGGAGATCCTAGAGATGGTGGACATACATGAGGGATGTTGTTCATCACATTTCTTCTTCCTTCTCCTGCACGTCATGCAACCGGTCTTTGTGCGGTTGCTGAAAACTCTCTTCCTCTTAGGGCCAACCTGTACAGGGCCGGAGGGGCGTTCTTGGGGTGGAGTCTCACTGTAAGTCGCGAGCCTGCGATTTTGGTCGACAGATTCACCTTCGGGTCGGGGGACTGGTGTCCAGTTCTTTGTGCCATGGTCAGGGCCTTGAACGTCACGCTGCAGAGCTTCTGCGAGCTGGGCATCGGAAGAGTCGATGGGTCGGTGGCCAAGTTGAGCATGGTTTGGCAGTTGCTGCGCGTCATAACCATCCCAGGTCGAGGTGTTGGCGGTAGATTGAACGCTGTCACCCCTTTCCACGTGCGTAAAATTTTGTCTAGTTCCTTTAGAAGATGTATCCAGTTCAGATGATGCCTGTATGTGGGTTGCGCCTTTTGGACCAGCAGCTTGAATCTGCGGCTCTAGATGCTGATCAGATTTGGAAACTGGGCTCCTGGAAATGCTTTGGCCCTGATACGATGATGGAGAGCTTTGCCGCTCATCAGTCTCTGATCGTTTTCGTTTGTTTCGATTTGCGTTTGAGGACTGCCCGTCAGATGTAATGTAGGATATTTCGGGATCCTGAGCTGCGTGATTTGTGGTTTCGATGAGCTGATCCGGTTGGCGAGAAGGTGTTCCCGAGTTCCTGCCACTACGATCGCGCTCCAGAGAATTGGTGGTGGGTGGTTCTTCGTTGTGGGTTGCGGTCGGAGGATTTTCTGATGGGCCATTGTTATTGTTATTGTTATGACTGTTACTGTGGTTGTTGTTGTTGTTGTTGTTATTGCTGCTGCTGTTGTTGTTGTTGTTATTATTATAAGGCGCACCGTGCTCTCTTCCATTTACCGCGGTAAACCGCGAAGGGCTATGCTCAGAGTTTGAGTCTTTGTTAGACTCGTGGTTTCCATTCACCACCGGAGCTGTTGCGACAGCGGACATGGTGGTTGTTCTGGCGGATCCTATCCGTCCAGAGAGGGTTCTAGTCGAGGAAGCACTTGGAGATGGTAATATGTGCAAAAAGCGAATACGTCGAGGTAGGGAGTCGAAATACGATTGGTGGGGTTTTGAAAACTTCGTGAGAAGTAATAGGATGATTTGTTGTTGAGCTGAAAGATGTTTCCAACAATCGCGATCGAGGAAAGTTTAAAATCCGCAGCAGACTGGGCAGTATGTGGGAGACTTCTCGGGACCAGGTAAGAATAGAGAATAGGAGAGCAACAAGAACAATGAAAAGTAGATGAGAATTGACTTTACACGAAAGCAAGAGGAGGTGAGAAAGGGAGGGACAGGAGAAAAAAGAAAATTTATAGAGGGTGGATAGTTGGATAGATGGTGCTAATAGGCGGGAAAGCGAGAGAGAGGTTTCCAACCTGGAGAGGTCAAGAGCAAGGCAAGAGGGGGCTGACTAGAACTGGGCCCGACACGACAACAAATACAAAGACTAACCTGACGAATTTGACGCGATGCAAGATAGGGAAGAATGTAAGTGTCTTGGGGTAACGATGCTGAGCTCAAGGGGGGTGGTGTTAGAAAATTGGGCGGCACGGCGAGACGAGAGAGGCGCAAACGAAGCGATTACAAGCGATTACAAGATGTCGGGAGGGGGTGGGGGGTGGGGGGAGTGAAGAGGAGAACCGAACAAAACAACAAAAAGCAAGGGCTGTGAATGGATGAAGGGGGAACAGGGTGAGATAAATGGTGCGGGAGGAGGAGAAGAAGATGGAGACAAAGCGTAGAGGAGAGAGAAGGAGGGGGAAGGGAGGAGAGGAGAGGCTGGAGAAGATGGGGGGAGAAGGGAAGAAGGAGGCAGAGGAGGAAGCAGAAGGAGTGTGTGTGTGTATAGTGTGTCGTGCGGAGGAGTATTATTAGCAGTCGTCTAGCATCCTACGTTGGTTGGTAGAGCGGGCAGCAGGATGGGCTTAATTAGTTATCATCCAGGCGGTAAGAGGATTTGTGTCTCCCTTACACGGAGTATACATATATATATATATATATATATATATAACTGATTCTAACGTCCGTGGGCTCTCCGGGCACTACCCGCCAGATTGCCAATTCCTGGAGACTTTGGGCCTTTTGCTGATTGACGCAGCGCTTGAGCCCACCCCAGGTTGGGGTCTGTCCTTAGACTCAGACTCCTAGGCAAGTGTCCAAACACCTACCACTTACCTAACAGTGGAAACAAGTGCTGGGCGGTTCTGTTTTGGGTGGGGGAGGCTAACTACTCTTTAGTGGGCGGTTGGGCGGGTGGCAGGCGTCTGTCCGGATCGTTTCGTTTCGGCTGTCGCTTGCGCCACGGATTGGCCGCCGCTCGCCACACACACTCTCAGCAGATGCAGTCATTGGAAGTTGAGGGACAGGGCCCTGGTAACTTTACAAAGCCTTCTCGTATTATTCTGGGTACCAATTTATTCTGCTGCAGAGGAGTTCTGATTGATTCCGATATTTCTGGCATTCTGGGTACTCTGGGAACATCCTTGGACTATGTCTGTTTCATCATGCGAAGTAACTATTTTGTTCTTTTTAAGAATATATTTTATTTTATGATAATGAGATGTTAGTGCCTGATACTCCAGCGTTGCTGCAATATACTAATAATAATACCCAACGTCGACTCAGCCGCTGGTGGTTGACGGATGTTGGAACCGGGTGTGTCTGTACCGCGTACCGTGCAGTGCGGAGTTTGGTCCTTCGGAAGTATCTGTATATTAATAGAGACAACCAAAGCCTAAAGGAAAAGAGCAGAGAAGACAAATCCACGCCAATAATACCATCATAGATACAAAGTACATAGAGGGGCTTTCTCTATTTTCGAGGGCAGGATGTGAAGGCAGTTATCACGTTATCACTACTTTATGACATCAATCAATTCTCTAAATTATTACCCCAAGGAGAATGCTAGTTTGAGGATGACCGCTGATCTATCGTCATCAACAATGATAATCATATTTCGCACAGGATACCGCGTATCGGAGCAACACAAGGAGGGCTATAAGCGCGAGCCTAATCCTGTTAGCACCCCATTTAGACAGTACACATACCTAGCCTTAGGCAGTCTGCTAATTACTTCCTTAAAAGAGGAAAAGATGGGAAACACCAAAAGGAAGGCGGTTCAGCGGATGATCGGATGATCGCATGATCGCTTTTGACTTCCGATTATGCGCCAACAACTAGAAGAGACAAGAAAAGAACACAGAGATCTAGTCTCCATCCTTTCGATTCCTTCCCATACATCCCCACTACCAGTGTCCACCTCCATACACACAAAGCACACACAAAACCCAGTCCAGTCAAACCTCGTTTAGGTCTTCCCCCCGACTGAACGAGGCATGGGTGGAAAGGAAATCAAACAATGACTAACTCCATTTTTGTAAAACTCCATAAACACTCAGCCATGATTGATTATTTTGCCGCATACGAGTTGGCAGTGGAACGATCATCGCAAACCAGCCCGCCCTGCTAAAACCCAACCTGCCAACAAGCCACTCAGTAGTTATGCAAAATTGCTCTAGCCGGGCTGCCTACCACTGCTGCCAGTGCCAGCCTAACCAGCAAGCCGGCCAGCCAGGGCATCCCTTCGATTTAACAACAGATTCGACACACGCACCCCCACGATCGTCTCGGAAAAGTCAATCAAATCAGCATTTCCTGTGAGGGTCCTGGTCCTCCCGGGTCTTCTTCCCGCCCAGTACCTACCACCCCTGTCAACATCATCTTGTGTTTATTTCATCGCCACCCCGGAAACCTCGCCAATCATGGCTTCCCATCATTTGCCCACAAGGAACAAACCCCCAATCAACGGTTGACGGGCTGATGCAACTACGACGACCTAAAACCTGTTGTTGTCTGTAATTGTAAAACGGAAACAGGTTGTTATTCTTACGATTGTCTTTTTGCTTCTTGGCTTGTTTTGACGTGGTTTTGATTTCCTCGTGTTTTGTGCGATCCCTCGTTAGGAACATTCTTCGAAAAGCCCGTCGTGCTTTTCACGCGGGTACCGCTGAGAGAGATGCGTGTGAGAAGAGGCCTGAGAGAGTCTGAGGCTTTGGGGATCTGATGATCTGAGGATCTGGAACCCGGGACTACCCACAGCCCTGTCTGTGCCTGTTGGTAATTTGCTGTGTGTTGTTGAAAGAAATCTGATCGGAGGTTCCTGGTAACGACTGTCTCATGCTTATCAACCCGTGGAGATAAATGAAATGAATGGACTGCTTTCACCGGGTTTCGTATGGTTGATTGACACAAATAATGATGGTAATACCCACCTGTTCGGTATTCTACTATACGTTGTTAGTAGTAGTTAGTTGGTGGTGTCTTGGATATGAATGTTTTTGAAGAAACTGCTGGTTCAGCCTGATTAGCGGGAAATGCTGAATCCGTCTAGCGCGGTTAGACCTCTTGTGCCTTGAGCCCTGCACACGATTGCATTTTAACCTCATTAGCTGCGTCACATAGCGGGTCAAATCAGGGTGCTTAGTTGCCGTCCCAAGGCAAAAAGGCTCGAGGCTTCTTCAGCAAATGTTGTTTCTCAATTCGTCCTCCTGCCCTTCCACAACGATCGGGGTTCGTCACAAGAATAATATTATAAATTTTGTCATTTTTTAAAGATATCCCATAATTCCCTGTCGATAGATAATGATATCCTATCCACGGAGTAATGTATGGGAGAACGTATGTTTGAGCAACAATAATACGATTCGTTCATATATCCATATATGATAGATACATGTGTCCCTGTCCAGCCGATTATTAGAGTTTTTATCCCTGTCATGCCAAGTGGATTTTCCTTACCTTATTTGTTTATTTCTCTAGTTCTCTCTCTTTCTCTCTCTCTCTCTCTTTTATTTTATTTTATTTTATTTTTATTTTTTTTTCCCTCTTTCTTCCGACTTCGCTGAGAGCAAGGAGCTCTCCAGTCCGGATCAGTCGTCGTCGTACTCTGGAGTTTTAGTTGTCACACCTCCCAGACCCGCCAAGTGAGACCGTGGTTGCTGTGCAATTGAGCGCATCAAAAGAGTGCTGCTGCACAATGGATGCCTTCTGCTCAGCAAAATGGGTTGAAAACTTCGCTCTGGGCGCCTGATGATGGATTCAGTAATGGCGCTGGCGCCAACAAGGTTAGAGAGAGGGAAACTCCAGCCGCTCATTCACCGGCTGAGGGTATTATTATAGTCCGTTCGTGACGGAATGCCGGTGTGGTGGTGTGACGACAACCCATCGGACCTCAGCCTTTAAGTCAACCATTGAGAAAATGAAGAAATGGCGTGTGCTGCTACGTAGTTCTATAAACCTCTCTAAAGTAGTTCCTCTCGGCTTGAACCTTCCAAACGCTTGTAGTCGACTTCATCTCCTTGTCTCATCATCTCAAAGGTATGAACAAACCTCTCTGTGAATACTCTGTATGCTTGTGTAAATACTATTGTTACTAACTATGACTAGGTTATTGCAGAATTAACAATATTGTTCTTATTCAGTAAGTTAATCCTAATCCGCATTGCGACAACTACTTCTCCTGTTGCTGCAACCTTGTTCCATCACTCAATTCAAAATTGATTCATGCACAGCCACATCTTTACCAATCAGTCGCTCCACGCTAACCAATTTGCCTCCATCCCGCGAATGCCGCTTTGTCCCTGTCGTTGGTGCCAGGCGCCAGTCGCCAGCCATAGTGCCAGAAACGCTCTGTTACTGCTCTGGCTTCACCCAGCGCGAATATCCGCCGTCCCCGCCGCTTATCCTTGTTATGACCCTGGCTGCTTTGTGATCTGATTTTTTTATGGTCGTCGGTCACTTTTCTCTTTTCTCTTTTCTCTTTTCTTTTTGGACTTCAATACCCGTCTTTCAACCAATAATGTTAAACGGTTCATTTGAGATTTTGAGTTTTGTGACTTGCTTACTCTCAGAGTGCTTTGATGCTCATGCCGCAGTAGCTTGATAGCCTTAGTCAACTTATTTCAAGATTATCAGGAGTACAGTATTCCAACCGCGGTTACGGTCCGCCTTGCTCTCAGCTGGCTGACGAAATAATGCAGAGACTGATGAAAATATGGATATATTGCTAAAATTGAAAAGATGCTCGGGCACTTTTTCCTAGTTAACACAAGAAATCAACGTTTCAGCCAGGCGCCCAAGCTGACTTTCTTCAGGAGTTGCGGATTTCTCCTTTTTTACTACTTATTTTTTTATATTTTTTATTTTAAACTTGGGCATACAATTGTGAAATTAATAATTGACTCCAAGGAAAGTAACTTGTCATGCACAGTGAAGTGTGGGTTAGTGGTTGCGTTACTCGTGGCAATTATTGCTTGCTGCTCCGTACCAGACATAAAAAACGGGGGGGGGAAAGCCTATTAATAAGTTTCATATCAACAAGTCTGCTTTCAAGGGGCCTGCCTGCCTGCCTGCCTGCACTGTCTGTCATTATTCTGTTCATCCCATGGATTGGATGAGAGGAGATCGCATGCCGCTCGCTGCTCGTTTAAATTTTCGTTTGTCCAATCCACGGGTCCCATTGGGCCGCCGGCACAACCCTCCGTATCCTATCCTTCTGCTTGCCGCCCTTGTTTGTCGCTCCTTTTCGCTCCCTTTGGTCCCCAACCAACCGACCCTCCAAGGTTGCTGCTAGTTGGGCTGGGAGATTATTATTTGGATTGTCTTACATCCCTGGTTTACCCGTTGGCCTATCATATGTGGCACCGGCATATCTTCCCCTTCCCAAGAGTCAGGAGAAACCAAGGTTACCCGACCAAGCTGCGACTAGCGTTTGGCGAACGCTCGTGTCGAGTGCTAAAAGCGGTCAGCAGTGAAGTCTGGTGCGTATGGGCGGTTGGGGGGAGCGCTGGGTGAGTGCATTGAGTGGGCGGCTGCGGGTTCATTTGGCCGCATATGCCGCCCATCGTTATTAATGATCGTTTTCGCCAGCGCCATTGCATTGCACCTCTTATAAATTGGGTGTTACCGCCGCTTGAATTATGCGGATAGCAATTTAGGCAATTTATCGCACAGACAAAGTAATTTCGAATAATAACGCTCCAATGTTCATTGCTAACTGAATATTTTTTCGAGCGGTTCCCAAGCGCTGCTCGATTATATTTTTCCCCCCATATTATCAAAGGCGCCAAAGCTCCTCGCTCTTCTTGACCGGTTTTATTTTTCTATGGAGAATTCCACCCTCATCTTTCACCTCTATCTAGCCCCACTTCGTCCCTGTAAAGTACTCCCCAGAAGCAGATGGTTTGGAGCAATCGAGGCATGGGTTGGTGGAAGGAGTGGTAACTCCAGAAGAGTCATCACATTGTTCTATTCTTGAACTTGGGAATACTGAATTGTATTTTTCTCCTTACCCTGACACGAGGTTCCAAGGTTCCCATTCATCTCCTCCTGGGCTGACAAATAATTTGTCATTAAGATTAGTTACCATCCCAAGGTGGTTCTTCCGTAGAATGTACGTACGAACAGTATAGTAGTACACAGCAATGTTTTATTCGAAATGCCAACAAAAGGTATGTCTTCGTTGTGGTTAATTTCATCATTTGATTATGCACCTACCTATTCCTATGCTATTATTCTCAAGAAAGATTGAGATGATTCTCTTGATAGTTGGATTTGGTGATTCGTTGGTTGGTCCTCCTGTGTAAGTCAGTCAAGGTTTTGTCAGATTCTTCTGAGCCAGGTAATTAATACCAAGAGGCGTCATTATCAAATAATTACCCCAGCCATGGATCCTTTCCACTCGATTTGGGGCCAAAGCGAATCTCCCGTGAACAGCTGCCAACTCTGTAACTTTGTTTTCCTTTTTAGCTTTTTGAAGGTTCCCCCTGCAGGGTTCCCGAAGGCGGATCGTCCTTGTGTCAGAACGCCTGGTGATTCCCCGAGAATTCTCGGCGCTTACTGTTTCAATTAACTATCAGTATGAGAGCATCGAACTTTATTATTGTTCCCCATGTATGAATTGGATGATACCTCGGTATGGGATATCATGTATGTGTTGGTTGAGAGTAACGGATTGGATGTATCTCATCTCCCCCGTGAAGGACCAGGATGTTTCCAATCTGACCCAAGCACTGTGCCAGTTCTAAATGCGAGTAGTGGAGGTGATTTGAGTTTTGAGATCCGTTCCCTCTGTGAGCCTACTCTAACCAATGGTAGATTAGAAGCGAATACTGAGGAGATGAGAATGAAACAAACTCCACACACTCACACACAACATCCCCACACGCATTTGGCATGCACTTCATTGATACTTTCTTCTTCAAAAGATCAGTGAAAAGTCCACTTTTCCCCCTGGCGCTTGGGTGCCTACAACTGCGACGTTCTATTGATGGGTTTAATTCACGCCCGTCAACTTCGCACGTTGTTTCTGAAGTAATATATGTAGCCGTTGTGGATGATCAAGCCCTGAACGGAGGGAGCTGAGACCTTCCCACCTGCCCATGCTGGGGAGGGATGAACCCCTGGCGCAAAAAGTGGTCAATATCACCACTTTCACATACACTGGAATGATGGCGCGTTGAGAGTTGGTCACAACTTTTGTTCTCTCCAGGGCTGGGTGACCGAGTGACTTAACCGTTGAGAGAGAGCCTGCCTAGCAAGTCGGAGATGTGCAGTAGGCGGGGCCCCTGAGGAATTCTGTTTGCAAAGCGACGACCACAGCTTGTTCAAGCTCCATCATCGCGATACTTGAATATACCGTCGCTCATCCCTACCCTCAGCCTCAATATCTTTTCTATCAAACCCCTTCTTCGCTCTTCTTTTGGAAGCATGCATGGGCTTTTTGTTTTAATAGAGACGGCCCAGCTCCACCTTGTCCCATTCTGAGTCCGGTCAACATGTACAACTGAATTTGATGGCACAGAATCCCTGAGAAATTATGTCCAAGAGGGATTATAACCCCGCCATGATCGACGACGTCCTTCATGATGAGTATGATGACTTTATGAAAGAGTTAGAATTTGCTATCTAGCTTCCCCAAGACACTCACATGAGAGTGCTATATCGTTATCAAGTTAACACCGTAGTGTCAGAGTCAGACACATTTTGGCGTGGCACCAGGTCCTTTGAGCTCTTTCTTCGCTATCACTTCCATCTGGGGCAATACATGAGCATTACTGAGTGAGCGCATTGCCGTTGCCATACCCGCTGCGGTAAGGATGTATATATTTTTATGGAGACGTATCACTAGGATGATGATAATGGACATTTTTCCGTGTGTTCCCCTCCAATGATCAAAACAATCAATTTCTTCTCATGTGCCTTGTTCGATACCCATCTCCAGTGCTTAATATTCCGTCAGAATGTTTTGGATGTTTTGATTAACGAAATGAGAACACACCAAGCCAGGGACAATCCTTACCCGGCTGTAGGAAATCAGCTTCACTCTACATCTCATTAAAGGCCGACAATAAGAGGAGGAGCAGAACGAACTGACCAGCAGTTGTAGCAGAAAAGTTAATATCATTGTTCAATTCCAGATCGAATGTGTCGAACAGTATGAATATAACCATGGGGAGAGAAACTATGCAAATATATATTTATATTTATATATAAATATTTTATTTCTGGGCATAGTAAAGACACAACAGAAAACCATAATCTATCGTAAAACGTATGAATGATCTCGAAATACCCTACAAAATATAAAAACGCCCTTAAACTCCAGTAGAAGACGGTAAAATGATACTTGGAAATTCGTGAAAAAGACAAAGAATATATTATCCGCCTGAACACGCACGACCTGTTCCTTTTTGTTGCACACTCGTGTACGCCCAGGCACCCACCCAAAGCCCCCAGATATCAAGTGGAAAGCCAGTCCAACAACTCTGGCACAAAATAACTCACCACAATCCTCGCCCCAGCTCTCAGAATACCCTCCATACTCTCCATCACCATCAACTTCAAATCAAAGACTCCAGCCTTCGCCCCAGCATGGATCATGGCATACTCCCCGCTCACCTGATACGCCGCCACAGGCATATCTTTACCGAGCTCCCTAGCATCGCTAATGATATCCAGGTAGGTGCCGGCAGGCTTGACCATAATGATATCCGCGCCCTCAGCAATATCACGCTGTATGGCACGGCGGGCCAGCCCGCGACCACCCGGAGGCAATTGGTAGCACTTCCGGTCCCCGAAGGAAGGGCAGGAACCCGCCGCATCGCGGAAGGGCCCATATAAGCAGCCGCTAAATTTGGCGCTATAGGACATCAGGAGGACGCGATGGGCGATCCCTGCATCGATGAGTTTGAGTTTTATGGCGCGCACGCGGCCGTCGTTCATGTCTGAGGGGGCGACACAGTGGGCTCCTGCGTCGGCGTAGGCGAGAGCGACGTCGGAGATGCGGTCGACGGAGAGAGCGTTGTTGAGAGAGCCGTCTTCGCGGAGGATACCACAGTGGCCGTGCGAGGTGTATTCGCAGAGGCAGACGTCGGCGATTATGTAGAGTTCTGGGAATTGTGAGCGGATTACGCGGATGGCCTGGATGACGGGGCCGTTGGGGTCGTCTGCGGCTGTTCCTAAGGCATCCTTTGCGCTGGGAGCGAGAGGCACGCCAAAGAGAATGACAGATCGGAGTCCTTTTTGGACTAGAGGGGTGAGAAGTGGGACGATACGGTTAACGCCGTGGCGGCGCTGGTTGGGGAGGGAGGGGATCGGGGTTTCTTCGTCTGGATTGTCCGTGATGAAGAGGGGGTAGATGAGCATGGACTGTTGGCGGGATGGTGCGATGTTAGAAAGAAAATTTTGGATTGATTCATTCGAGTAGAGAAATGCATTCTTTACCTTTGTTAACTGCCGCTCAGCCTGCCATGCTCTGTTCAAAGGATGGCTGTAACCTGCATGGAGCTGGCTGGAGATATCTCCCGATATGCTCACGCTAGTTGCCGCAGTGCTAACGTATGATCGAGGGGGGGTTTGTTGAGATCTCAGGCCATTGGAGGTTAAAGAGCTGCGGTCGTCGGAAAGGCTACCTCTAAAGGCCAGATCAGACACGAGTGAGGAGAACGACATGTCGACTGCGTGTTCACAGGGAATGAAAACGTCCGTGGCGATGAAGTGGGTTTTGTTGGCTCTCTGACTCAAGCGGAATAAACCAATCCCCGAAAGAATGCTGGTTGACTAGGATTGAGAGATTCAAAGCAGATCATAGAGCGGTGTCAAATCTGCAAAGGGTATGGGTATCCAGAGTGAGAGTGTGAGTGTCGGTGTCGGTGTCGGTGTCGGTGTCAGTGTCGGTGTCGGCGCAGGTGCTTGAAGCTTGACAGTTCGTTCTGTGGTGGAGGCGGTGGATTATTTTGCGGCGCAACAAGAACAGTTTTGCCCTTGCTGGTTGGCCAATCACAGACACTGCTTATTAACAGCCCCCGTTCCTTCTCTGGCCGAGCCGACGAACCGCAGAAAAAACCTTCCAAAGCTGAACATTTATTTGTTGGACCGTTCTTTACTCTCTGCTGACGCTACGAGTTCTTTAAATAAGTAGTGAAGTGCATGAATCCAATCACCACTTGGCAAAATGGCAGCAGCAGCAGCAGCAGCAGCAGCAGCAGCCCTATTGATTTATGTAGTCAGTTCTTGCTAAACTTCAAAGGACAAATGAAGCTGAGAACTTGGAATCAATCAACCCATATTGATTCTTTCCGCACATGATACTGGTATGTTCCGTTTTCCGTGTGGGTCAACCCCGAGCTGCTTTGTGCTTTGGAGGAAAATGTACTCTAGCCCAATGTTCACTTAATTAACTCCAGCCACCAAGTACTTCCATCCAGAATGTAGCCTCCCATCCCTAAGCTGTCCCTTCACATACATACATACATACATACATACATACATATATCCATCTCACGACAAGGAAATGTAGTTAAACCAGCATAACTTTGAAGGATGCAAGAAAGAACAAGTCCCCAAACGTAACCCATCTCACAGCTGCACATCGTTATTCAACAGCCTAACTTCCTCCCCAGGCTTGAACGCCGGAAGCCCAATGTACGGACATCCATCACATCGAAAAGCATCGCCCAGCGCGCAATTCCCACAACTGCCCACTTTACCCTGGACCGTAAAGTCAACCTCGGCCAAGTCATTGGTTCTCAGTTTCAGCGTCTCAAGCGCTTTATCCGCGTTGGCGCGTTTGGCTCTATCTTCCGCCTCCAGTTTCTGTGACAGGCCGCACGTGCAGTCCTTGCAAGCTCTTCGGCGTTTGCCTGCTTTTGGTCGGCATTCTGGGGCTATATATGCAAATTAAGCGGTTGGGTGGTTGGCTGATGTCTGGTAGTGAAAAACAAAAGTCATAAAAAAAGGAACTCACGTTGAACAATGTGCCTGCCCATGTCATACTCCCCTAGTAGCTCCTCCTCATCAATCAGCTCCTCATCAGAGTCTTGCGTTTCTTCCACCATCGGGACGCCAAAGTCGTCGCTGAAATCTATAAATCCGACCCCCGAGGGGGTTGAGCTGTTTATTGTAGTTGTCGTCGTCGTAGTGGGAGTAGCAGCAGTAGCAGCAGCAGCAGCAGCAGTAGTAGTAGTAGTGGTGGTAGTAGAAGAAGTAGCGCCCGTAGTCACCCTCACACCATTTGAAGCTGGTAACTCTACTGCCCCGTTCCCAAAAGCAGACTCCCCCAGATTCTTCTTTCTCCCCAACTTCAGCGGAACAGCCTGCTGCGCTCCGAAATCCGGCTTCGCCAACTCGCCCCTATCATCAAATACCAAGCCCGCCAATATCGCCTCATTCCTGAATGCTTGTTCACTGCTGCTCATCTTCTCACCACCACCACCATCACCATCACTTGATCCTAAGCCTGCGGCTGAATCTGACCCTGAACCCCATATTTGATTATCTCGATTCCTCAACTTCCCTCCGGGCTTCAGGCTGTTAACGACCCCCTGTAAAACCCCCCGACTGACCAATCTATAGGTTTCTGCGAGCGTGTTATCTGCTCCTGTCAGCAGCAGCACGACGTCATAGGTTGATTCGGGAAGGGATACGAGGCCTAGCGCGAGTCGGTCGAGCATTTGCAAATCTGTGCTTTCGCGTGCATGCAATCCTAGGATGGCGTTTAGCTTCTCTGGATGTGAGGAGAGGGATGGCGGAGAGAGTAGAAGGAATCGCCCAGAGCCCTGGGCTGGAGTTTGGGAAGGGGGCATGTTGGGAGGTGTGGTAGTTTCGAAAGACTCCAGGGGGTTATGTGTAGAGGGGCAGAAAGGGGGATTAATCAATATTTAGAGCATTGGAGGTTCAAAAGGGAGCAGAGACAATAGGCAAAATCGTGTTGTTCTTGTGTGATGCTGTTGGTGGAACGGTTTATTGGATTTTTCGTGAGGAAAAACTAGAGCCGGGGGAAATTTTATATTGCCCCTCGTTGATAACGAACCTTTTCCAATCGTGTTCCGACGAATCAATTAGTTATTAGTAATAAGCCACCTTAATTTAAGGTTCCAAGCTGCTCATGCTTTCTCCGCGCAATTGTCAGTTTCGTCTGGAGCGACAAGTCATCTTGCTAATTTATTATTTTATAACAATACTTTAAATATCTGAAAACTTATATCAATTTTGGCAAATAGCTGAGATGTCTTCTCAACCAGTAAAATTGTCTCGAAATGAGATCTGATTATCATACAGGTAACTATCCAAGGGGCTGGATTAATAAAGGTACGCGGGCAGAACCTACGAATGAGCAACCTCCTAGAATAAACGCATACACACCTGGGTTATGGTGGTCTGAAGTACAATATAATGCGCTTGTGAGAGATGGGTGATGGATATTACACACCTCCTGCACTACTCTTTCGGTGAAAGGTGTACATTTCCGCCTCACGCATTGTGAAAAAAACGCTGCTTTTCACCACCGGAATCGGTGCACCGATCTGACTCCATATAGCACGAGAACTTCCAATCTGGGCCACTGTTAGAGAGCTCCATGTCACCCGATTTGAAGGCCTTCCGAGAGGAGTAACAGATCTCTCCAATTACTTGTCTGCTGATTATATGGATTCTGGGCATGTTTCGGAGCGAAGACTCCCTTGTCAATATCCCTGATGAGTATATTGGATCACAATTCTCTTTCTAACTGTTTATGGTGTGACCAACAAGAATTTACTGTCGGGCACCTTCGAAGGTACTTGTGGCAAGTTGTGTGGTTAGGGAGGTTAGAAGGCAGACGCCTTGAAAGGGATGATGTCAGAATGCTTCTTTGCAGATCTGCCCCTGATGAACCAACCATAGAGAGAGGTTTGAGCATTTCACGGCAAACAGGGAGAAGAAACTAGAAGAGTGAATTTGAAACTGAGTGAGTGCCACCACCATCATGGATTAAATGTTGGAAATATATACTGGCTATCTTGCATGGAACATTAGCGAGAGACCCTGCCATACAAACAGAGAAGTGATTGAACTGTTGCTCATGTCATAATGAGGTCAATTGCTTCCAGTAGCTTTTATGGACAGATCCCCTACCCGCATGTCGTCATTGTAATCTCAACTGAGGAGAACATCACTTGCTCAACCTCAACAACTCCCTTGCAAATAATGAGGCCTCTATTTTCAATTGCTCCAGTCCATACATAGTTTGGTGATTGACCACTATCATCATCCTTACGATGAATTGAGCTTTTCCCCGGGGATATCAAATTTAGATCATGGCAAAAAGAGGAGGGGAGGAGGGGGGTGGG